TAAACCTCCTGATGCTTTATGAACATTGTGTCGTTTGCAAAACAAGACTTATTTAGCTTAAATATTAAAAGCTATATGAAATTAATCATAATGGCAAACACAAACAAAAGTTTTTAAGTCTTTTAAAATTACACATACATATTTTGTTAGTTAAACAGATGTCTAACAGGGTCAATATGTTTTTAAAGGGAATTAATGTATGAATGAAATGTTGAATGTTGGTGTTTGCCTGTCTAATGTAGACTGTTCGCTGTTTTTGTATAATTACATGCAACTATTTTGTTAGTTGTATATATTTCAGTGTTCAAGAAAAATGTCCTTTCAACATGTATATTATTCACCCTGTTCAACCCTTATCTAAAATTCCTGTGTAAATGATGTGATATTGTGACATTGTGCAAAAGGTCAATGCATGATCTTGAACTTTATATAATAGCTAGGCCTACTTAAATGTCACATTTAAAAGTAATTCAATTTTATTGAAATTTAATAATATCCCTGCAGGTTATATCACGTGCATCACCAGCTCTCTATATAAACATAAATACTTTGACTAAGTTTATTTATTAAGTGTATTTGCGTTATTCCTTGAATAGTGTTCATGCCATTGATTGAAATGTAACAAATGCATTTCATAAAACAAGCATCAAAGAAAACAGAGAAAGGTTGAGAAGTGACAATGCATGCGTTTGAGTTTCAGTAAACCACATAAACAGTGTGTGTGTGTGTGTGTGTGGTTTTGAACATGATATTGTCAGATAGAGCAACACTGACACCCCCTGGACAGAGAATGACACTACTCCTCCTTTATTATGTTTATTACACTTCAAACAAAGTCAACGTCAGAACTGCAATAATACACATAAAATCAGACAGCCAGGGCTAAACTTTATATAAATATATCAAATAATTCACAAACAGAAACAGTTTAAATTACTTGCTTATTGTGTGAATGAAAAATAGCCTTGATATACTGTATATATTTGCATTTTTTTTTTTTTTCAAGAACCAAAAACAAAGGTTGGGTTTTTCTGTAAGCTTCTTACATTCATGTAGAGTCTATGGAATTTAGCAAAAATTAAATTTCTATAATATAGGGGGTAGTCAAACTAAATATAACGTTTTTTAAGCACACCTTGAAAAAAAAAACCCTGAAAATAAACCAAAAATACAATCAAATTCGTGTTATTTTGCCATGACGTCGGCTCATGTTACTCGTTTTCTCCAGTAGGAGTCACTATTTCCAAACTATCATGCACACAGTCTATGATCATTCAAGTAGAACCTGACATACTTTTTATTTGTAGGTTTTTTTCTGTTAACTTTGACCCTAAGAACCAATATTTCGAGGGTCTCAGATAAATATAAAATATGTAAATAATAAAACGGCCTTATAATAAACTATTAGTGTAATGCTAATACATTTTTAATGAGCTGAAATGCTATTTAAATGTTATTGAAGTACATTGAAATGAAGCTTCAGATATATTCTAACTCTGGGTCTCATTTTTTTCTCATGAAAAATTAACTCATTAATTCAGAAAAACAGAGCAAAATATTTTTTTTCTCATGAAAAATTAACGCATTAATTCAGAAAAACAGAGCAAAAAAAAAAAATTCATGAAAAATTAACTCGTTAATTCAGAAAAACAGAGCAAAAAAAAAAATCCATGAAAAATTAACTCGTTAATTCAGAAAAACAGAGCAAAAAAATTTTTTCTCATGAAAAATTAATTCAGAAAAACATGAAAAATTAACTCGTTAATTCAGAAAAACAGAGTAGATTTTTTTTTCTTCAAGTGAATGCAATATGCCTCCGTACACTTCAAATAAGCATGTCAGGAATAAAAATGTATTATAAACATACTACTTTAATTTTCAAGTATATTTTAATAGATTTAAAACTCTTTTTCACCTGGGCAACACAACATAAATCAAAACAGTAACTATAACCATACATACACCTGCAGAGGGCGCCATTACAGGCAGTGTGTGTGTGTGTGTGTGTGTGTGTGTGTGTACACACATAATATGGCATATTGAAAAAAAGCAATAAAACGAATACCCTAAAGAGGCAGGAGCTTCAGTTTCTGCTTAGATTTTGTTTCTCAGACACTAAGAACGACAATCATATTCCTAAATGTATATTAATTGTTATATTACAAATATATACTAATTATATTAATATATAGCACTGCAAAATAATTGTCATTTGTGGACAGTCCATAAAGAGGAAACGTTATAGATTAGAAAAGCTGTGTGTGGAATAGTGTGGGAACCAGGCTTTGGAGACAGTTGAGTCAGCTCTCACACACACACACACACACACACACACACACACACACACACACACACACGGTGCTGAAGTGAAGGGTTGTTTGTGTGTGGATGAAGGAACAGACCGGCTCCTGCCAGCTGCTGCCCAGTGTGACGGAGACAGGTGCACATTCCTCCCATAACACACACACACACACACACCCACACACACACACACACACACACAAGTGTCTGTACATTATCAGTTCTTTTATTCAGTTGCTGTTTAATATGAGCTTTTAAATACGCAGCATCTCGTATAAAAAGTATAAAATCAACTCGACACCCTTGCCTCATTTTGTATTCACGGTTGTTCTATGAATATGCAAATGATCCCCGCCTCCACTCACTCACTCACTCACTCACTCAGAGATCCACTGGTTGACGATCACACGTTGATCTGATTGGTTACAAGGTCGTTTGTGACGTCAGAAACACCAGCGATTTCTGATTCACAATCGGACTTCCGAACTTTCCCAAAATCCTACAGACTTTCATTGAGGGGCTCAACACTATTGTACAATAACTCTTATAGAGTATTTAAGCTGTCTATCACTCGCAAAGCTTAGCAACTAGCCTAGGACAGCATGCTAAAACATGCTAGCAATGTGTTATGATAGCAACATGCTAGCAACTTAAAACATTCTAACAACAAATGTGTTGAAAATTTTAACAACATGCTAATGCATGTCATAATTGTGTTAAAACATGCTATCAACATGCTAATACATTCTAGTAATGTGTTAAAACACGTTAGCAATGTGCTAAATCATGCTAGGATAATGTTAACAATGTGTTAGTCATGTTAGCAAATGTGCCAAAACATGCTAATTTATGCTAGCAATGTTTTACAACATTCTGCATTTACATTTCTTCATTTAGCTGACACTTTTAACCAAAGCGACTTACAATTGCTTTACATGTAAAAGTTCGCACGCCTCTGGAGTAACTAGGGGGTTAACCCGGGTCTCTCACACCAAAGGCATGTGTCTTATCCACTGCGCCATCACCATCCCCTAGCAACATGCTAGTACATGTTAGAATTGTGGTAAAACATATTAGCAAACATGCTAGCAATGTGCTAAAAACATGATAACAACGTTAAAGCATGTTAAGATCATTCTAGCAATAGTCAAAACATGATTTCAACATGCTTAAACATGCTAGCAACTCGTTAAAACATACTAACAACAATTGTGTTGAAAATTTTAGCAACATGCTAATGTATGTTAGAATTGTGTTAAAACATGTTATCAACATTCATCCTAGTAATGTGTTAAAACATGCTAGCAATGTGCTAAATCATGCTAGGATAATGTTAACAATGTGTTAATCATGCTAGCAAAATGTTAATACATATTAGCAATGTATTACATACTTAGTCATGTTAGCAAATGTGCCAAAACATGCTAATTTATGCTAGCAATGTTTTACAACATTCTGCATTTACATTTCTTCATTCAGCTGACACTTTTACTTTTACTAGGATAATGATAATGAGCAATGTGCTAAAAACGTGATAACAACGTTAAGATCATTCTAGCAATATGATATCAACATGCTTAAACATGCTAGCAACTCGTTAAAACATACTAACAACAATTGTGTTGAAAATTTTAGCGACATGCTAATGCATGTTAGAATTGTGTTAAAGCATGCTATCAACATTCATGCTATTAATGTGTTAAAACATGCTAGCAATGTGCTAAATCATGCTAGGATAATGATAATGAGCAATGTGCTAAAAACGCGATAACAACATTAAATCATGTTAAGATCATTCTAGCAATATGATATCAACATGCTTAAACATGCTAGCAACTCGTTAAAACATACTAACAACAATTGTGTTGAAAATTTTAGCGACATGCTAATGCATGTTAGAATTGTGTTAAAGCATGCTATCAACATTCATGCTATTAATGTGTTAAAACATGCTAGCAATGTGCTAAATCATGCTAGGATAATGATAATGAGCAATGTGCTAAAAACGCGATAACAACGTTAAATCATGTTAAGATCATTCTAGCAATATGATATCAACATGCTTAAACATGCTAGCAACTTGTTAAAACATACTAGTAACATGCTATTTCACAGTAACAATGTTAATGGCATTAACATTAATGGCATTTATGACTGGAGATTTGACGCCGTGTACAGACACGCGGAATGACGCGGACGTTAATGGCGTAGACATATACGCATACACGCGGATAGCTCAAAATGCGTAGAGATAACACGCCACCTGACTCGAAAGTGGCTTATATGTTTACGCAAAAGTCATGATGTCATGTTGGTTAAAACATACTGGCACCATGCTAATTCATGTTAACGATATGCTAAAAATGCTTGCAACATGCTAATACGTGCTAAAATACATGCTAACAATGTGGTAAAAAATGCTATAAAAATGTTAAAACATGCTAGGATCATGCATTTTACTTTCTCCGAGTCAAATCTTTAATCTTTCGAAGTTATGCTAAACTTTGAGACCTGGCCCTGTCAAGCCAACATCAAACTTATTACACTCCTGATCTAGTTGTTTTCATTGGAGGTGTATTCTCATTGACTGGGGTGTGTGTTCATGCCATGGGAGAGTGTTGTGGGGGCTGGGAATGGGATCGCAGGCTCTTCACACACACACACATGTGCTGTCACTCAAGTCTGAGACATGAGGAGCGAGAGACACAGAGTCTTGCTCAAACTTGGCTCAGTCTTCACACACTGTTGCATCTCGAGTGTTTGGTTTATTGGGTCCGAAGCCGACGATGAGGGCCGTTGCGGTACTGAGTGTGTTACTGACCGTTGTGTGTCAGGTGAGTCGACCTTCACCTATTAACTCAAGGCTATCCATTTCAGTTTTCACTTGTACGGTGAGATTATAGCTCAATGCTAATATATTATTAAAAGATATGGCGCAAAATAAAAATCTGAGAGTAAGTAATGGGGGGTGATTACTTATGACAGTTCAAATTGTTTTGCTTTTTAAACTCCTATGAAATATAATATGATTTAATAAATTTAATAATTACAGCATGAGATTAAATGTTAGAAGCTGTAATCAGATTATCATGGTTTGACTTATCGTGCGTTCATTTATTTTTGATTAGCGTTAGTTTACCTTGTTGAAGTGGTTACCGTTTTGACCTTGCTTGGGTCACATCTGCTTAAATCATCTTTAGTGGTATGGTGTTTAGTAATTGATTGTCAAGTTTGTCTTCAACTGGTTGGTATTATGTATGATGTATTATACGGTTATTAATAATCTAAACACGTGTCAATTCTGACTAATTGAATAATGACATAATAATAATAATAATAATAAGATAAATACGTCTGGTTTGAAGCTTGTTTGATGTTACCGTTTCAAGGTCATGAATCATGAAGACAACGAATGAGAATGCAAACAAAGTCGAATATTTGATCTGAACTGGTTAGATTTGCAATGAGACACAGATTCTGAAATGCGAGATTTGTTCTGGAGTCGCCAGACTTTCATCATGCGATGCATAAACAGCAGAAAGTTTCCTTTCTTATTTATGAGCAATTCAAGAACAATTGCATTAAGTTAAAACGACCCATTTTCCTGAAAGCATTAGCTATTATCATAAACTTAAACGGGATAGTTCACTTTGAAATTAATTTTTAATATGTTTTATCTTACCTCGAGGGCATCCAAGATGTAGGTGTCTTTGTTTCCGCAGTATTTTCAATTTTTATATTTTTAGGTCAAACCGTTCATCTATCAGTCATATAATGCAGGTCTATGGTCACCACCTCAAAGAGTATGCACAGAGAAATCCAAATTAAACATGATTTAATAACTCATAAATGTAAGTACACATTGATGGCCTAAGACACGAAACGAGCGGTTTGTGTGAGAAAGTTTAGGCTCCAATTGTCACTATTAACTAGATGCGTATCAGTATGCATATTACTAGGATATTCGCTGTTTATTAGTACATAAGCACATATTAATGCCTTATTCTGGATGTTCTACATCCATTAAACCATAAATTTACTTAATAAGCAATTAAGAGTTAATTGAGGCCAAAGTCGTAGTTCATAGTTAGTTAATAGTAATTTAATCTGAAGTTTGACCAACCAATCAACTCCAAGTACAACTATGCAATATGATCACAAAATCTGTAACATATTTTTGATAATATTTAAATAAATGAAGATGTTTTTTTCACCGCTGTCTTTGTTGAGAGGAAAGCGCACAGCACATATTTACATATTCATCTAAACCCTGTATAATGGGGCCTTAAGACATTTTTATTATTAAACTCCGGAGGAAATGCGTGTTTTACTGAGGAGAATAACTATTCAGACACGCAATTCATTTTTTTTCCGATTGCACTTTATTTTACCGTGTATGTGCACTAATGCTCAATAATTAATTGGTTTGAGTAGGACAAGCTTATTAGTTCAGTCAAATGAACTTTTATGAGTATTTAGCAGTTTCTTTTTCTTTCAAGTTCACAGAACTGATATATTTTAAGAAGAATTATTTCCTTTAATTTAGACGAAATTAAGTTTAACTGAAACAGCTGATATGTTTATTTCCCAGCATGTTTTGCCGATGGCACTCGAAAGGGGACAGTAAATGCTAAAATGAAGTGTTTTTGTGCAAGATTAATTTTAAGTGAGAGTTTAATTTAGTTGTGATTAATGTTTTGTTATGCTAATTTAGAAGGATTTCTGTTAATGTTGGTTTTAGTGACAAATGGTGATTGAGGCCTTGATTTGAGAGCAGAAGTCCTTTATATCTCTGCATTCGCACAGCAAGTGCTACTGCATAACGTTGTTAACAAATTAGTATGTTAGCAAACTAGCTTTTTAAAGCTAGCCAACTTTATACTAATAAAAGAGTTCACATTGAGATTACATGAAAGTTTTTAGTTAAACCAATACGTATACCCAAACATTTCAAGTTAAGAACAATTAGTACAAAATCTGCCAGTTCTGCTTACTTAAACTTTGAATTTCTTAACTTAAAAAAATTGAGGCAACTGATTGCCTTGTATTTTTGAGTTTTGCCAACTTATTTGGGTTTACAGGGTAATATAAGGTAAATTAAGGTATATAAGGTTCTGCACGGTTAGTAAGTTATTACCCAGTTATTGTAATCACTTTCATAAGTACATGTACATGGGGAACAGGACTGTACAGTTTTTCTTCTATTGGTGTAATTCTGTAAGAAACAATTCTGTGCACACCTGAGAATGTGCAATACATGAAGATGATCACACTCCACATCATTGTCCCAACCTGCTGATGAACTGATAGTCTTCTTCTAATTCTGTTCTTCTTTGGTTATCACTGGTAATGTAATTTAATTAGCTAAAAGTCTCTGGTGTTTCTCTGGGAGAGGCTCATGTCTCACGAGAGCTTTGAGAGTCACACATGCCTCTGTGAGGTCTTGCTAATACGCAGCTGTTCCCAGATGCAGACTCGACCCCGTGTGTCTGACATGGTAATCTTGTCGGTGGAAATAGGAGGGCAACGTTCACAGGCCACGTATCGAGCAGACACTCTTAATAAAGCAGCTGGGGGGAGTCCGTCATCCTGGAAACTCTGTGTTTCTCCCGGTCCCACACATTAGATTAGGGATGGTGTTCACTGACAGTTACTACAGTGATTTCCGGTTTGAATCAGTGTGACATGGCAGCATTCTGGTGTGTGTGTGTGTGTGTGTGTGTTCAATGCCTTACATGTTCCTTCCTGGATGACATCAGGATCAGTTACTGTAAAATAAACCACAAACACTCTCTTAAAACAAATAATTGGTAAGTAAGTTAGTAAGTAAGTATGTAAGTACATTAGTAAGTAACCAAGTAAGTTAGTAAGTATGTTAGTAAGTTATTAAATAAGTTAGTAAGTTAGTTAATAACTTAGTAAGTTATTAAGTAAGTTAGGAAGTTAATAAGTTAGGAAGTTATCAAGTTAATTAGTAAGTTAGTAAATAAGTTAGTGAGTAAGTTAGCAAGTTAATTAGTAAGTAAGTAAGCAAGTTAACTAAGTACGTAAGTTAGTTAGTAACTTAGTAAATAAGTTAGTAACTAACTAAGTACGTAAGTTAGTTAGTAACTTAGTAAATAAGTTAGTAAGTTGGCAAGTTAGTGAGTAAGTTTGCAAGTTAATTAGTAAGTAATTAAGTAAGTTAGTAAGTAAGTTACAAAGTAAGCAAGTTAACTGAGTTAGTACGCAAGTTAGTAAATAAGTAAGTTTGTAAGTAAGTAGTAAGTTGGCAAGTTAACTAAGTTAGTACATAAGTAAGTTAGTAAATAAGTTAGCAAGTAAGTAAGTTACTAAGTAAGCAAGTTAACTAAGTTAGTACGTAAGTTAGTAAGTCAGTAAATAAGTAAGTAAATTAGTAAGCAAGTTAGTAAGTTATTAAGTAAGCAAGTTAACTAAGTTAGTACGTAAGTTAGTAAGTTAGTAAATTAGTTGGTAAGTAAGTTAGTAAATTAGTTGGTAAGTAAGTTAGTAAATAAGTTAAGTTAGTAAGTAAGTAAGTGAGTAAGTTAGCAAGTTAATTAGTAAGTTATTAAGTTAGTAAGCAAGTTAACTAAGTACGTAAGTTAGTAACTTAGTAAATAAGTTAGTAAGTTTAAGTAAGTTAGTAAGTTGGCAAGTTAGTAAGTTAGTGAGCAAGTTTGCAAGTTAATTAGTAAGTTAGTAAGTAATTAAGTAAGTTAGAAAGTAAGCAAGTTAACTGAGTTAGTATGTAAGTTAGTAAATAATTAAGTAAGTAAGTTGGTAAATAAGTTAGTAAGTATGCAAGTTAACTAAGTTAGTACATAAGTTAGTAAGCAAGTTAGTAAGTAAGTTCGTAAGTAAGCAAGTTAACTAAGTTAGTATTTAAGTTAGTAATCAGTAATTACTGTAAGTTAGTAAGCAGGTTAGTAAGTAAGTTAGTAAGTAAGCAAGTTAACTAACAGCATCACCCATGCAGAGATCAACTAAATGCCACTTTACCTGATCATACTGATTTATTAATTATGAGGTCAACATATACAAGCTTGCCTTAACCCACAAAGCTTCCACACTGTAAAAGTGATCAGTTGACTTAACTTGAAAAATGAGGAAACCTGCTGCTTTTTTTATTAAGTATAAAGTAAATTTCATGCGTAATCGAAAAAAATAAGTAACATGGAATTTTCAAGTCTAAATTTATTCATTTTTTTCCCCAATTAAAACAGTACATTTATTTACTTAATAATTTTGATGCAAGGGGTTTACAAATTTCTTTTAAGTGAAACACACACACACACACACACACACACACACACACACACACACACTAAAACGAGTCCAGAACTCTGTATGTGTTCCACCTAATGTGTTCCACACTTCTTCTCCTCTTCAGAAATGTAGTGTATCTGATTGTGTTAGTCACGCCTCGGCTCGGACCAGCTGACCCTGCCATGTGTGTGTGTGTGTGTGTGTGTGTTTAGGAATGTCTTACTCTGTTAAAAGTTGAGCTAATCTGGGTGAGATGTGAGTGTGACACAGAGAGCAACAACTGTGAACTGGAATGTTTTTCCCCAAAGCGCTGAAAGAGCCGATGGTTGCGCTTTCTTGGTGCCGTCCTGAAATAAAGAGCCTGATTTCTGTTGGATAGTTGAATGTGAGGTTTGCGACACCTGTTGTCTGAAGAGTATTTGCAGCTCTGAGTCGGATCAGTGCTTCCCCGGAGCAAATGTTTTCACATTCGGCTCTGGAGGATCAGGTTTCTCTCCGATTTTAGGTTACACTTTGTTTCGATGATCCACTTTAAGTAACTTTCATGTCAACTAGTTAGTAGTCATTAGTAGATGTTAGATTAGGTTTAGAATTAGTGTCTTAAGTGGACCATCAATTTGATTTTAAAGTCAAGCTTGTATAGTGTCTATATGGTGTTTAAGACACATAAGTCGACAGCATTGCTGAACTAAAGACAGTCTCAAAAACACACTTTCTGACGTCACAAACGACCTTGTAACCAATCAGATCAACGTGTGATCAACCAGTGGATCTCTGAGCTGAGTTAATGAGTGGAGGTGGGGCTCATTTGCATATTCATAGACCTGTGCATACTAAATGAGCCAAGGGTGTCGAAGATATGATGAATTTCTTCAAGGGATAAAAAACGTTTAAATATGTAATTTCAGTTTTAATGGATAAAATTATTGACTTCAGGGGGAATTTAAAATCCTTTTAAAGATTTTGAGTTCATGTAAAATGTTCTGTATTTGGTCAAATCTGAAAGATTGAGAGATGTGAGATCACTGGGTGTTTCTGAGGAGAACGCATGAAGGCAAAAGACTCACTCTCTCTCTGGAGTTAGTGATGCTGCGTATAAAAAGCTCATATTAAACAGCAACTGAATAAAAGACCTGAGACTCATGCATGTCCTGAATGAGGTGAAGATTGCATTAGCAGACTCTCTTGAAAGCTCATGACAGAAGTAGCAAATGTGCAGCTCTGTTAAAGACATCAAGAGACCTCCAGTCAACACAACCCCTCCAGTCTCAAATGTCCAATCGCACACCACAGGATTCTGTTAAACGCTATTACAGGTGAAACTCCAAAAATTACAATATCGTGCAAAAGTTATAATTTTTATGCTTATGAAAACCCCAAATTCAAAATCTCAGAAAATTTGAATATTACATGAAATCAATAAAAAAAGGATTTTAAATACAGAAATGTCGGCCCTCTGAAAAGTATAATCATGCATATGTATATAGTTATATATAATAAATAGATTATTTTCACCTTTTAAGTTGAATTACTGAAATACATGAACTTTTGCACGATATTCTAATTTTTAAAGTTTCACCTGTATATTAATATTAGGGCTGTCTTGTGATTCATTTTTTGTAATCTAATGGATTACATGATTGCTCAACTGAATTGGCTTGATGAGCAATTAGCTCAGAAAGATCATTTAAACTCATTATTGTTTTAGATGAGAAAAGCTTTAGAAATAAATATTTTGATTCATACACATAAATACACTTTTAAGGCTACAAAGTGTCCATAAAAAAGCTGTTTAATTCAGCTCACAGGTTGAATATGAATGAAAATATGAAATTGTTCTCTATATGAAACTAAACTGCTTTAAGGAGTGAGTCATTGAATCATTCATTCAACCAACTCGGATTCATTCTGGAACGAGGCCAGTGAATGTGTCGTTATGAATGAGTCACTGAATCGTTGACTCACTCGATTCGTTAAAAACGCAGATTCATTCAGTAACGAAATTCATTCATGCTGTCCTGATGAACTTGATTCCTGCTCCAGCTGCATTATAACATGCATAGCTGAATAAAGTCGTAGTTTTTCTTATTTTTGGACCAAAATGTATTTTCGATGTTTCAAAACATTGTAAGTAACCCACTGATGTCACATGACTACTTTGAGGATGTCTTTATTTGAAATGATACTCTGTATGAAACTGAAAATGCCAGTCGGTCTTAATGAGCGAGTCATTGAATCATTCGTTCAAACAGCTGATTCATTCAGGAACGAGGCCAGTGGCCGTCTTTATGAATCGATGACTCACTTGATTCGTTCTGTGTGTCGCTCACAGACATCAGTTCTGCTGTGGCTTTGGTCAGAACGAAAATAGAGCAAAAACAGACAATATTGGGTCTAAAATGTAATGCAATATTAATCTGGTTTACTGAAATGTTGTATAAAATCAATATCACATTTTGTAGCACATACAAAAAATAGCACTCTTGCTCTGGTGATATTGCTACTAAGGGAAACTCGACAAATTTTAATATCAAGCAAAAGTTAATTTATGTCAGTAATTCAACTTAAAAGATGAAACTAATATATTACATGCAAAGTGAGATATTACAAGCCTTTATTTGTTATCATTTTGATGATTATGACTTACAGATTATGGAAAACGTTTTCACAATATTCTAATGTTGAATTTGGGGTTTTCATAAGCTGAATGTTTTCTGAAAATTGATCATGTTAACTGTAATGAAATGAAAATCTGTAATAGTTTTAATGTCTAATAAATGCAATTAGTTGAATTTAAGTGTGCTTTTTTGACCCACCAGCCTACATCTTTATCATTATATAAATATAATTACTTGTATTGTCTTTGAACTGTGGTTCAAGTGTACAGACGGTAAACTAAAATATACGTCAATGTAATTTCTTGTGAAACTTGTACATCTTAAATTTAAAGTAAACTACAAGTCTTGGTCCATGGTGAGAATGCTTGACTCTTTGATACACATTGTGTCGGTGTGTGTGTGAGAATTCTGTCACTGCGTGTCGAATTTTGTCACTAAAGCACGTTTAGCAGCTGACCTCTGACCTCTGTCAGGTGCAGTAAACCAGAACGTGTTTCAGAGCGACAGCCGACAGGCCGTGAGTGGACAAAACTGAGCCTGTTTCCTCACTGAACAGCTGTGTGTGTGTGTGTGCTGAAAGTAATGTTCTCATACACTTATCTGCATGTTATTTACCATTGTAATGGAAAACTTTTTATGCGTTTTGGTCATTCATTTACACAACAACAACGTTTTGGTGGCCTGAAAATGCAAAGTTTTAAAACAGGTTTAAAAATGCATGTTGGAAACAATAGCACTGTGTTTGAGTCGCTTAACATGTGCATTTAAAAACATCTTTCCCAAACAGGCTTGAAAAACTCAGATAAAACATAAATGTAGTTGTGTGTTTATTAGGAATGATTTGTGTTGTCTGCCTCTTTTTTTCTTTTTTTACTTTCAATTTACAATCCAGGGCATCACAAAGATGTGTTAAATTCATTAGCAGAGATACAGTTCTTTGGGCTTTTCGATTTTTGTGTGTGTGTGTGTGTGTCGCTGAAGAGCCTCTAGAGTCTGATCGCTGTGTGTGTTTTGTCACAGGTGAAGTCGAGCGATCTGAACCCATGGAGACTCAGGAGCGCTGGTCCACTGGTCAGGGTGAAGAGAGACTGGGTCATCCCACCCATCCGAGTATTAGAAAACGGCAAACATCTCCCTGAAGATCTGGTCCAGGTAAACCAGCGGCCCTCGTCACTCCTCACTGGAGGCCTGAAAACACACTTCTCTAATTGATATGGAAGATTGTTTCTGCCACAGAATAAAAAATGCAATTGCAAATTTTTACCTCACAATTCTGACTTTTTTTTCTCACAATTGCGAGTTTTCAATTGAATTGTAAGATATAAAGTCTGAATTACGTGATATAAAGTCTGAATTGTGAGATATAAAGTCTGAATTGGGAGATGTAAAGTCACAATTGCATGATATAAAGTTGTAATTACGTTTTATAGTCAGAATTGCTTGATATAAAGTCTGAATTGTGAGATGTAAAGTCACAATTGCGTGATATAAAGTTGTAATTACGTTTTATAGTCAGAATTGCGTGATTTAAAGTCGCAATTGTGTGATATAAAATCGCAATTACGTGTTAGTCAGAATTGCGTGATATAAAGTCGCAATTACGTGTTATAATCACAATTGCGTTATATAAAGTCTGAATTGTGAGATGTAAAGTCACAATTGCGTGATATAAAGTCGCAATTACGTGTAATAGTCAGAATTGCGTGATTTAAAGTCGCAATTACGTGATATAAAATCGCAATTACGTGTTAGTCAGAATTGCGTGATATAGTCGCAATTACATTATAGTCAGAATTGCTTGATATAAAGTCTGAATTGAGAGATGTAAAGTCACAATTGCGTGATATAAAGTCTGAATTGAGAGATATAAAGTCGCAATTACGGGTTATAGTCAGAATTGCGTGATATAAAGTCAGAATTGCGAAATATAAAGTCAGAATTGTGTTATAAAGTCAGAATTTCATGATTTTATATTGACAGTTGAGAGTTTTTATCTTGCAATTCTGACTTTATATTTAACAATTCTGTATATGTATGTATATATATGTATATATCAATTGTGAGATAAAAAGCAATTATCTTTTAAAATGTTTTAATCTGTGGCGAAAGAAGCTATCATAAATTGAATGTCAATGTCTTTTTGAAAATATAACTAGCCAGGAATGAATCTGAAATAGATTGGGAGCATCAACAGACACACTACATACAACAAAAAGTTGGAACACAGTATAATTTATTTAACTGAACTGATGTACAGTAGATGCTATTAAATGCACCACAGGACATGTTGCTCTATTTTAAAACTGCATTCACGTAAACTGTACAAACAAAGCGTTTGGTTACACACACATGGCAGTCTATAAATCGAGCATTAGCGCTATCTTTCGACAGGTAGACTGTGTACCATACGGCTTTAACATGTTCCTGTCCACTCGTGCAGATTAAATCAGACAAGGTTTTCACCGGAGAGGTGATATACAAGCTGGAGGGACCCGGCGTTGACCAGGATCCCAAAGGCCTCTTTGAAATTGATGATAAAACAGGATGGATCAAGAGCAAAGTGCCCCTGGACAGGGAAAAACACAAGAGTTTCAAGGTAAACATGTTTTTTGAAACATTAAAAGGGGATGTATGTAAACATTAGGGTTGAGCGATATATCGATATTGGTATATCGATACCGATATATGCAAAAAAATGGAAAACTTTTCGATATATCGGTACCGATATATGGTTATTTTTAATGTTATCCTTATCGGCCTGATAAGAAAATTTGGCTGATATATAAAAGCTCAAGAATAATGTATTATTTCCTTCAGCTGAGACACTTTAAATGCACAACTGTTCACCATGATGGTTTTTATTTGTTTGAAATTTGATTGAAATCGCTTCAAAAAAGGAAAATACAGTTCAATGCAACATGTGCAGCACAAGCCTGTCATATCGGCTACATGAAATTATAATGAGAACGTTGTAATTGTGTGTTTGGGACATTGCTATAATGGTGAGACATTTGTTTTTGTAATAAGGCTCTCAAAAATCAGATTTATCGGCGAATATATCGGTTATCGGCTTTCAAATATAAAGAATTATCGGTTATCGGTATCGGCCAAAATTTTGATATGGGTGCATCCCTAGTAAACATTTTCATCTCAAAGTCAATTTTTTATTGCCTGTGTGTGAACAGCTTGTAGCGAAACTTAAAAAAAAAAAAACGAGACTTCGTAAGTTGCCTAAAGCCTGTAGACTGGGGACGTTTTTCCTCGGAAAATCCAACGTTAAATTCAGGATAATGACAAAAGAGCTGTTCAAGTGTCATGCAAAGAAAAGGGATTCATTCCAACTACAATCTCACACAGTCAGATAGTTATATAGTCTCAGATATACTTTATAATCAAACTATTGTTACAGTGAGAATAACCTCATCGTCGACATGATGAATCTCAGAGCTGGTTCAAACATCCACATCTCTATGATCAGATCTGCTGATTTCTCACCGCTATTGTGTTTATTTTGTTATTGAGACTAGAGGAAAGCAAATATTTACATATTCATCTATTCTAAACGTCGCCCGGGATGTTCGCGAGCAGTCTATCACTACTAAGGTATTTCTAACTTCAAAGCAAAGAGCTAAAACATCTCCACTGTGAGTATACGAGGGTGTTGAATCACGTTCGGTCTCATGCGTAACACGAGTTGGAAAAATAACCCACAGCTGCAGTTCCCTGAACAGCCACCGGTGTCGCTAATAACAAGGGTTTCTGAATTCTACACATAGCCCCTTTATTTCTTTCTGTTTTTTTTTTCCAGATTTAAATGAGATTACAGTTCCCACTCTGATAGACGTGCAGATCATGTCTATATTGGGTCCGTCGGTCCATGACCATCTATTCGACGTCCACTTTTTGTTTTACAAATATCAACATTGTTGTTATGAACCTGATTAAAACATATGAAGTTATTTTCCAAAAACTCATTTAATTGTCTCAGCAACGGATGATAACACACAAAAGTGTAATAATGCTGTAGCTTGAACAGTAGGGCATTGGCGCCTGCAACGCCAAGATCATGGGTTCGATTCCCAGAGAAAGCAACTGATAGGAATGTAAATGTGTAATGCAATGTAAGTCCCATTGGGTAAAAGCGTCTGCCAAATGCATACATGTAAATACATGGTACAGAAAACATGTCCTCCACCCTTTTGAAACATGGGACTACATTTATAGAAATTGTATAAAAATTATTCTAAATTTGATGTTGAAGAGACGTCCACAAACGACTACATTTGGTCCCACGGACGTCAACATTAGATCAGCTTTGCTTTGCGTTTCAAAACAACCCCTTCAGTGGACTGAAAACGGACGTCCAAAAATGACATCGAAAAGACGTCACTGCGACGTCACATTGCGCAGTGGGTGTGGCCTCAGACTCACTGTGGCATTAGCTGGATGAATCATGTGATATCTCTGAATAACTCTATGTGCAATATCCTCAGCTCAAAGCCTTTGCTCTCTCACCAAGCGGAGAGCGACTGGAAAGTCCCACAACCATTGAGATCTACGTTCTGGATCAGAACGACCACCGGCCCGAATTCACCCAGAAAGAGTTCATCGGCACCATCCCTGAGTTCTCGGTTCCAGGTAATGTGTAACAAAATATGTAAATAAACATTTAATGAAAAAAAACAACGTTGGATTTTTATCCCTAAATCAAGTTATTTAGCACAATGTCTAGGCTGTTTATTTCCACGTTCCACGTTCATGTTAGATATTATACAAATCTTCTTCACACTTCAACATACTTTAAAAAACTGTATTTATAACGGAAGTGATATGTGTTAAAAAGAATATACTTTATTGAAAACTGAATGTAATTTTTTCAGACATTCAAATTCAATGCGATTAGTTGAACATACGAGTGTTTTTGACTCACTTAAGTTTTACTTAATTACTTCTTTATTTGTAATTTCATAATTACTGATACTGTGTTTTAAATAAGGTTTCCACAATTATTAAAACATTCATTTAAAATGTACTTTAAAGTTGACGTTATTACAAAGTGCACTTTAAAATTGTGTTAAGAAAACTTAAGTGTAAACTTTAATACATTTGCTAGCAGGGCCATAAACATTTAGAAAAATTACATTTACATTTACGCATTTGGCAGATGCTTTTATGGACTATGACACACAAGTCAAATAGACCAATTTTTAATAAAATTATTGTACAATGTAGTTCGATAATATTTTTATTTTATGATACTAAATTATATTTACGCAGTAGTAATAATTTTAAGCATGAAATTTCCAAATTTAACTGTCATAAATCTGGATTTCTTTGAAGCAACAGACTGAAGTTTGGTCTCTTTTTAAAGACGACTCATGGCGAACTATTGCTGAAGTGAAAAAAGTTTATAACTTGAAAAATAAAATGTTACATGAAAAATACCATTTTAAATTTTATAAGTTATATATTTTCCAAAAACAAGTTCTACACTAAAACCGTAAGAAAATCAAAGTTGTGTTCCAAATTTGAGCTTGATATCTCAAAAAAATGTGCTTTCAGTGAGATGCGCAGTACCAAACGCTTCCACTAGAGGAAATTCGCCCATTCATTTCCATTGCGCTCATTCCTGACCACAGAAAACACAAGTGTAACTATTTTTTTCAGGACCATCTAACCTGTTCCAATCATGTCCATTATTTTTGTTCGCAAAAGTAAACGTACACATTTTAGGTCAAACATGACATCGAGTGTTAACCGTGTTGGTGTGTGATCAGGAACGTCAGTGATGCAGGTTACAGCCCAAGATGCGGACGATCCACTGACGGAGAACGCAGCTCTGAGCTTCTCCATCACCGAGCAAGAGAGTATCCCTCCTCACAGCGTCAACAAGACCATGTTCGGCATTAACAACACGACTGGAGTCATCTACATACGAGATGTGGGACTCGACAGAGATGTGGGTTATTATTTCTGTCTCTTATAAATGAACAGCATTAGGGGTGTAACGATGCCCTCATGTCACGACTCGATACATATCACGATACGATATTATGGCGATACTCCAAGACATATGTGCTGTTAAAGGAGCTGTATGCAAGATTGTGGCCAAAACTGGTACTGCAATCACTTGCAATCACCCACGAGGTTGCCAGATATGCTGCAGTATCCAGCAGGAACGTAGGCTGCAACAAGAAGCCAGTAGCACCTCAATGCAGTACATGAGATCCATGGGAAGGAGTCGGATCAAGATCCAAGGGGTGGATTTAGGGATTAGGGGGCGGAGTTGGGTAGGTTTAGGTGTATGTAAGGTGGGAGGAGTTGGATCTGGATCTGACTCCTCCCCGTGGATTTCATGTTCTGCAGTGAGAACCATCTCCAAGAAGCTTCCAATGGCAAGTGACGAGTCCTACACATTTGAGTTTCTTTCTTTTTGAGTTAATTATTTATTTCGGACTTTGTCACAAAGTATTTCAGATTCATATCGAGTTTTTTTTTCGAGTTACATTTTTTTTATCCGAATCCGACACGTTAGTATCTGCAGCTGTAGTAACTAGAGAAGAGCTGGCAACCCGAATGTCGCAACACTTCCGACTCCGTGATTGGTAAACACAACATGACATCATCAACATCGGTCGAGGGCTGCGACTGCACTTTTTAAATGACAATATCCTGGCCGGACTACTGTTGTCAGTGATATTAGTATTTCAAATGAACATGATTTCTTAATGTCTAGTGACATATCAGGGAAAATTTATGATTAATTGAAATGAATGTCTTGCATACAGCTCCTTTAATGCTAAATTTGATAGTACATTGTGTGTAAATGAATATTCTTGGACACCAGAATAACAATATTCATGATTCTGAAGCTGAAAAAATAATTATTTTTCACTCTTTCACTGGCTAGATATGTTTAAAATAATTTCGGCCACTGTATACTGGTAACATCAGACATTTGGCATTATCAGGACACACAAATATTCCCTCGTTTCATTATTATTATATTCATCATTAGTGGTTTAATGTAGTTCTGACACTAAAACTCTGAAAACTTTTTTTGCATAAAACGCAATTTTAATTTTGGGTGAACTATCCACAAAGCATGTTGTTGCATGTTGTTTTCTGATATCTTGTGACCTGACTATGGAAAATGAGCCATCCCCTGTTGTGTGGTCAGGTGGTGCAGTCCTTCAGGCTTCGTCTGCAGGTCGCTGATATGTCAGGAATGGGTCTATCCTCCGCTGGTCGAGCCATCATTCACATCGCTGACATTAACAACCACGCTCCCAGATTCCAGCCCACCGTGGTATGAGGAGACCGACTGCAAACACAGTCTGTGACGTTTAATTACTTTAGAATCATCTCTTAATGTTTGCTAACCATGGCAATTTCAGTAAGGACCTCATTTAGGACTATTAAAAGCTATTACAAAATTATATTTATTAAATGCATAATCATATCTTAAAGGAGTAGTTCACTTTTTAAAAAAACTTTTGCTGATAATTTCCTCGCCCCCATGATGTCATCCAAGATGTCCACGTCTTTCTTTCTTCAGTCGAAAAGAAATTAAGGTTTTTGATGAAAACATTCCAGGATTTTCTCCATATAATGGACTTCAATGGGAACCAAACGGTTCAAGGTCCAAATAAGAGTTTCAGTGCAAACTGTTCAAAGGGCTTTAAACGATTCCAGACGATGAATAAGGGTCTTATCAAGCGAAACGATCACTCATTTAATAAATAAATAACAAAGTGTAAGTTTTATAAGCTCAAATGCTCGCTTTGCTCTGTTCTGTGATGCCTCTCCTGTTCATCAAAATGAACGAATCTGGTTCATTCAACGAACGAATTGACTCGGAAAAAGATTTGTTCATTTTGATGAACAGGAGAGTCACAAACGCGCATCACAGAACAGAGCAAGGTGAGCATTTGAGCATTTGACCAATCGTTTCGCTTGATAAGACCCTTATTCATCGTCTGGAATCGTTTAAAGCCCTTTGAACAGTTTGCACTGAAACTCTCATTGGGACCTTGAACCGTTTGGTTCCCATTGAAGTCCATTATATGGAGAAAATCCTGGAACTTTTTCATCAAAAACCTTAATTTCTTTTCGACTGAAGAAAGAAGGACGTGGACATCTTGGATGACATGGGGGTGAGTAAATTATCAGCAAAAGTAAAAAAAACAAAAACAAAGTGAACTACTCCTTTAACTACAGATACAGAAGCATCCTACAAAAAAAAGTAAAAAATTTTTTTTTTTTTTTTTTTTGCGCGGTCTGTGATGTTCATCCGATCTGTTGTCTAAACTGTTCCACTTTTGTGACCGCAGTACTACATGAATGCAATGGAGAACAAGCTTCTGCCGGAGGTGGGCCGGGTCAACGCCACAGATAAAGACCAGAGAGGGGGAGAGAACTGGAGGATCAAGTACACCATCGTAAAGGGAAATACTTTAGGAAACTTTGCCATCCGCACAGACCCAGTCTCCAACCAAGGCATCATTTCTGTGGTTAAGGTGAGATTACAGACACCAGTGAGGACCGCGGCGTCACGCTTAAAAATACAGGGTTTTCACAGCAAAAGAACCATTTTGGGTTCCCCTAAAGTGGTGAAGATCCAGCTTTTAGTGTTGTTTATACAAGTAGCCTAGACTGTGATAGAAAACTGTTTTTTAAATCATTACTTTTGAACATTTTCATGCTGAGAAACTGACAAAAAAGATTTAAAAATCATAATATTACTTAATCCTTCCTTATAACTATAAGGAAATAAGGTACAATGAAGTTCCCCAACATGTGAACTGCATCTGGATCAAATAATATTGTGGTAATTGCATAAAGTATGAGGTGCAATTTTCTACAATCTGTTGCCACGTGAAAGCTACATTCTCTCTAACCGATTCCTCCTTTAGTAAACTGTCACTGTAAAAAAATATTGATGGTTTAACTTAAAAAAGTAAGTAACCTGGTTGCCTTAAAATTGTAAATTCATTGAACTGGAGATTAATTTAACCATCAGAAACTCAAAATTATATGTTATTTGAACTAAATAAATTATTTAAGTTGATTTGACAAAAGAAAAAATGTTGTGATTAGTACACTGTACATTTTTTTTGTTGGTTTAACTTAAAAAAGTAAGTAACTTGGTTTGCCTTAATTTTAAGTTGATTGAACTGGAAAAAGTGAGTTAATACAATGAAGGAGATTAATTTAACCATCAGAACTAAATAAATTATTATAAAGTTGATTTGACAAAAGAAAATATGTTGTGATAACAAATCGTGAAAATATTTTTTACAGTATAGAAAACAGTGAACATCTGTGGCATGTCTTCACTGTTATACGGTAGGGGGCGCTATTACAAAACTGCAGAAATCAGGACCAAAACAGATGAAAAATGAGCAGAAGCAAGCGATTGAAGCATTACTTATGCACATTGTATACTTTAAAAGTCTAATTTTTGTTGAAAATATTGCTTTTTTTATGTAACTTATCTACATGCAGGTGCTGATTAAAAAAGAATGCATGAAGCTAGAATAAAACATTGATTTCTTTTTTTTTTAAAGTTCTCCTCTGTTTTTTTCTTTTGATACATTACATGCAATAAAATAATCTGGGAGCCATGAAAGTTTTGTGTAAATTATCATAAATTCGCTGGCTATCCTCTATGAAAAATATATGAAAAACTAAAAATGTGCACAAGTTTTCAAAGGCGGCTTTATAATGTAGGGGGCGGGGCATTTCAGATTCTAGAGAGCGTTTGATTGGACAGGAATCTGACGAGAAGCTGAAGTGCAGAACGATGGACTAAATTTTGAATGCGAATATCTACAAAATGTGCGATTGTTTTAGAGCACACCAGTTTATTACAAATGTACAAAAGCTGTTACCGGGACAGGACTCTTTCAAAATGTATTTGTACCTTATTAAAAAAAAATAAAAATAATTTAATTTCGAAAAATGAAAAAAATGAAAAAATGAGAATATTGTGCAAAAGTTCATTTATTTCTGTAAGTCAACTTGTAAGGTGAAACTAATACATAATATCGACTCATTATTTGCAAAGTGAGATATTTCAAGCCTTTATTTGTTATAATTTTGATGATTAATTATGTACAGATATAACCTTTACACAATATTCTAATTTTGAATTTGGGGTTTTCATATCTGTAAGTCATAATAATCAAAATTATAACAAATAAAGGCTTGCATGTAATATCTCACTTTGCATGTAATGAGTCTATATAATATATTAGTTTCACCTTTTAAGTTGAATTACTGAAATAAATGTACTTTTGCACCATATTCTCATTTTTCGAGGAATCAACATTAAAGGATTTGTGGTTATATTAATTCATCCCTCTTTTTCCGTCTCCGTTCAGTGTGTGAATGTGTCCGTATGTATGATTTTAAATTTAGTGTCTCTGCTCTCTTGCAGCCGCTGGATTACGAGTCTCAGGCTGAATATGAGCTGGTTGTAACAGCAGAGAATGAAGTCGGGCTTAAAGCCCCGTACGAACAGACACACAGCGCGACGGTCACCGTCAGAGTGATGAATGAAAATGAGGCCCCGATCTTCTACAAAAACCCCATTAAAATCACTGTCCCGGAGTCAGTTGCTCCCGGTACGGTGCTGGTCTCGGATATCGCTCATGATCCGGATAATGCCAAGCTGAGGTGAGGCTCTCTTCACCAGCATCACATCTATACCTGATAAAGCCGTGTAGATGTCAGTTCTGGATGCAAGCAATCATATCCCTAAGCTTCTGTAGTAAAAAGAGTGAATTTACTTCTAAATCTGATTTATAACAAGTTATGAATTCAGGAGTGTGCTCTCTTTGAGTAAAAAGTGAGCTTAACTTTATTGAATGTGCTTCAAATCTGAAAAGTATATGTCTAACAAAACTATAACTGCAGAAAATACAGTAGTAATAAAATAAAAGGCTGTTTAAATGTCCTTAAAAAGAGTACATACAATTCATAAAAAAGTGCACTTTGTAATAATGTCTATTTAAAAATCCATTTACTTAAAAGTTAATTTTAAATAATCGTTTTATGTTTTGTCACGCTTCAAAGACGTACACATATTTTGATTTTTAAAGCCCAGTATTTGTCTGAAACATGCCAGCAATGCGATGATAAATACTAGGAACACTCTAGCAACCATCCAAAATAAACTGGCAAACACATATCAACACCCTAGCAACCACCCAGATTACCCTCGCAACTGCATTTCTACACCCTAGAAACCACAAAGCAACAAGCCCAAGAACCCTAGCGATCGCATAGCAACACCCCATCAACCACCTAGAATACCCTCAAAACCACATAGCAACACCCTAGCAACCACCCAGATTACCCTTGCAACTGCATTTCTACACCCTAGCAACCACAAAGCAACAAGCCCAAGAACCCTAGCGATCGCATAGCAACACCCCATCAACCACATAGAATAGCAACATAGCAACACCCTAGCAAACTCAAAGCAACAACCCCAAGTACCCTAGCAATTGCATAGCAACACCCCTTCAACCACCTAGAATACCCTCAAAACCACATAGCAACACCCTAGCAACCACCCAGAGTACCATAGTAACGGAAGAGCAACACCCCAACACACTATTTACATAGTGCTTTATACAATACATATTGATTCATAGCAGCCTTACAGTGTAACAGGAAAATTATGCATTTCGGCTGTTGTTCATTTGAAGTCAGTTCACCACAACCACCCGAGTACCTTAGCAACCGTAGTACATAGCAACACTCTAGCTGCAACTACCCCTAGTAGATGCTGCATAACAACCACCCAGAATAACCTCAAAACCGCATAGCACCCAGAATACCCAAGTAACTGAAGCGCAACACCCTAGCAACCACCTTGAGTACCTTAGAAACCACCCAGAATGCCCTTGAAACCAGTTTGCGACACCCTAGCAACCCCCCCGAGTACCCTAGCACCTGCATATAGCAACCACCCAGAATTGTCTAGAAACCACATAGCAGCACTCTGGTAACCACCCAGAGTTTCCTAGTAACTGAAGCGCAACACCCTAGCAACCACCTTGAGTACCTTAGAAACCACCCAGAATGCCCTTGAAATCAGTTTGCAACACTCTAGCAACCCCAGAGTACCCTAGCAACCACCCAGAATTCTCTAGAAACCGCATAGCACTCTGGTAACCACCCAGAGTTTCCTAGCAACTGAAGCGCAACACCCTAGCAACCACCTTGAGTACCTTAGAAACCACCCAGAATGCCCTTGAAACCAGTTTGCAACACTCTAGCAACCCCAGAGTACCCTAGCAACCGCATAGCAACCACCCAGAATTCTCTAGAAACCGCATAGCAAATGATTTGTCTGAGAGACTTAAAACCTTCAACTGAGCTTTTTAAACTTTCTCTCTTTAAAAACTTAAACCATATTTTAAGCAATTATGAAATTACATATAAAGATATACTGAAGTCCTACTTAAGTGGGTCAAAAACACTCTTAAGTTCTGTTTTTTACATTTTATGGTAAATAACAGTGTCTGAAAACATTACATTCAGTTTGCACACGCGCATGTATAATTCTATTATTTCTGTAATTAATAATCTATGCTAAAGTGTACTTCGTTTCCATAAGGAAAAGCCTAATCTACTGCATGTCCTACACTTTGTTCAGGTTTGAGCTCCTCCAGGATCCTGAGCGCTGGTTGGCTATTGACCGTGAGACTGGGCAGATCACGACCAGAACAACCTTCGACATCAGATCTCCTCGCGTCAGGAACAACATCTACTCCGCCGTCGTGAAGGTCACGGATCAGGGTGAGCACCTGGCACCCGCAGACAGACGCGGCCGACTGTGTCTGAGTAAAAACGCTGATGTTTTCTCTGCTTCCAGACGCCGATGGCATCTCTGCGACCGCGACCCTGGAGGTCAGTCTGTGGGAGACCAATGATTACCCACCGGAGCTGAGGCCGGCGAGCGGGCCGCTGTGCAGCGACTGGGACAGGGATCGACTCGGCCTGATGATCAGCGCCGTGGACCAGGACATGTCTCCTCAAGCTGACCCCTTCACCTTTCACATCCCTGACCAGAACACAGCCGCCAACTGGACCATCATCACTCTCAATGGTAACACTTAATACATCATTTATATGCACAGGTGAAACTCCAAAAATTTGAATATCTAGAAGATCTACTAATATATTATAGATACTCATTACATGCAAAGTGAGATATTTCAAGCCTTTATTTGTTATAATTTTGATGATACGAATATGAACGCTCATGTCTATAATTTAAACTAAATAACTCCTGGAACAGATCATTTCTCTGCTGTTCGATTCTCCATTTTGAATCAAATTTCAATTCGATTTGATCATAGATTTTAAATATATGCATATATCGAATTGAAGAAGAAAATTGAGAATCGAACTGCAGAGAAATGAACAGCCGCTACTGTTAGTCCCATTCGAGATGGAGTTATTAAATAGAGAATCGATTTGAATTGAATCTTGACCCCAAGAATCGTTTTGAATTAAACAGTGACCCCAAGAATCGATTTTAATCGAATCGTGACTCCATCAATTGATTTGAATGGAATTATGACCCGAAGAATCAAATCACGAAACACAAATCAATTTGAATCGAATCGCGACCCCAAGAATCGCTTTGAATCGAATCGTGACCCCAAAAATCTTTTTGAATCGAATCGTGACCCCAATAATCAATTTAAATCGAATCGTGACCCCCAAGAATCGTTTTGAATCGAATCGTGACCCCATGAATCGATTTGAATCAAAACATGACCCCAAGAATCGATTTGAATCGAATCGGGAACCCAAGAATCATTTTTAAATCAAAGCGTGACCCCATGGACGATTCGAATCGAAACGTAAACCCCAGAAACGATTTGAATTGAATCGTGACCCCAAGAATTGATTTGAATGAAATCGTAACCCATGAATTGATTTGAATCGAATCATGACCAAAAGAATCGATTTGAATTGAATCGCGACCCCAAGAATCAATTCGAATCGAATTGTGACCCCAAGAATCGTTTTGAATCTAATCGTGACCCTATGAATCAATTTGAATTGAATCGTGACCCCAAGAATCGATTTGAATTAAATCGTAACCCCATGAATTGATTTGAATCGAATCATGACCCCAAGAATCATTTTGAATCTAATCGTGACCCTAAGAATCGTTTTGAATCTATTTGTGACCCCAAGAATCGTTTTGAATTAAACAGTGACCCCAAGAATCGATTTGAATCGAATCGTGACTCCATCAATTGATTTGAATGGAATTATGACCCGAAGAATCAAATCACGAAACACAAATCAATTTGAATCGAATCGCGACCCCAAGAATCGCTTTGAATCGAATCGTGACCCCAAAAATCTTTTTGAATCGAATCGTGACCCCAATAATCAATTTAAATCGAATCGTGACCCCCAAGAATCGTTTTGAATCGAATCGTGACCCCATGAATCGATTTGAATCAAAACATGACCCCAAGAATCGATTTGAATCGAATCGGGAACCCAAGAATCATTTTTAAATCAAAGCGTGACCCCATGGACGATTCGAATCGAAACGTAAACCCCAGAAACGATTTGAATTGAATCGTGACCCCAAGAATTGATTTGAATGAAATCGTAACCCATGAATTGATTTGAATCGAATCATGACCAAAAGAATCGATTTGAATTGAATCGCGACCCCAAGAATCAATTCGAATCGAATTGTGACCCCAAGAATCGTTTTGAATCTAATCGTGACCCTATGAATCAATTTGAATTGAATCGTGACCCCAAGAATCGATTTGAATTAAATCGTAACCCCATGAATTGATTTGAATCGAATCATGACCCCAAGAATCATTTTGAATCTAATCGTGACCCTAAGAATCGTTTTGAATCTATTTGTGACCCCAAGAATCGTTTTGAATTAAACAGTGACCCCAAGAATCGATTTGAATCGAATCGTGACTCCATCAATTGATTTGAATGGAATTATGACCCGAAGAATCGAATCATGAAACACAAATCAATTTGAATCGAATCGCGACCCCAAGAATCGTTTTGAATCGAATCGTGACCCCAAATATCTTTTTGAATCGAATCGTGACCCCAATAATCAATTTAAATCGAATCGTGACCCCCAAGAATCGTTTTGAATCGAATCGTGACCCCATGAATCGATTTTAATCAAAACGTGACCCCAAGAATCGATTTGAATCAAATCGTGAACCCAAGAATCATTTTTAAATCGAAATGTGACCCCATGGACGATTCGAATCTTAACGTAAACCCCAGAAACGATTTGAATTGAATCGTGACCCCAAGAATCGATTTGAATTAAATCGTAACCCATGAATTGATTTGAATCGAATCATGACCAAAAGAATCGATTTGAATTGAATCGTGACCCCAAGAATCATTTTGAATCTAATCGTGACCCTATGAATCAATTTGAATTGAATCGTGACCTCAAGAATCGATTTGAATCGAATCGTGACCCCACGAATCGATTTGAATCGAAACTTGACCCCATTAATCGATTTGAATCGAACCGTGACCCCAAGAATCGATTTGAATCAGATTCCCACCTCTAGTGTTTAGGATTCAGTTGTCAGTAAGGGATCTAGCCCTGCTGGAGCTCACAGTGTTTACTCTTGTGTTTTCTTCTGTCCGTCCCAGAGACCCATGCGGTTCTCCAGCCGCTGATAGACATAGAGAGGGGGGACTTCTCTATTCCTGTGGCCGTTTCGGACTCGGGCTCGCCGTCTCTCTTCTCCAGTGCGCTGGTCAACGTGACCGTGTGTCCCTGTGACAGTTTCGGGGACTGCAAGAGCGTCACCGCGGCCATCTTTGGAGCCAAAGTGGGAATAAGCTTCATTGCCCTTATGATTATTATGGGAAGCGTCGCTTTTCTCTTGTGTAAGTTTCATTTAATTCATTTTATATTGAACAATATTATTGTTCTGCCTGCATTGACACCATTATATGAGATTTGAACTGAGCTGGACGATGACATCACGGTTTTCTCCAGAGCGGCTATGGCCACACACACACACACACACACATATATATATATATACTGTATATGTACAGGTGAAACTTGAAAAATTACAATATCATGCAAAAGTTGATGTATTTCAGTAATTCAAATTAAAAGGTGAAACTAATATATTTATTATATAACTATATACATATGCATGATTTTCTTTTCAGAGACATTTTTGCATTTAAAATCCTTTTTTTTTTAATTGATTTCATGTAATATTAAAATTTTCTGAGATTTTGAATTTGGGTTTTCATAAGCTGTAAGACATAATCATCAAAATTATAACTTTTGCACGATATTCAAATTTTTCGAGTTTCACCTGCATATTTATATTTTTGAAGTAAATGAATAACTTTTTGTACAACAAAAAATAACTTGCTTAAAGGATTAGTTCACTTTTGAAAAAGCTTTTGCTGATAATTTGTCATCCAAGATGTCCACGTCTTTCTTTCTTCAGTCGAAAAGAAATGAAGGTTTTGATGAAAACATTCCAGGATTTTCTCCATATAATGGACTTCAATGGGAACCAAACGGTTCAAGGTCCGAATGAGAGTTTTTTTTATCAAAATGAACAAATCTTTTTTCGAGTCATTTGGTTCATTCAACAAACGAAATGAACGAGTTGACTCGGTAAAAGAATCGTTCATTTTGTTGAACGAGTTTGAACAGGAGAGTCACGAACGCACATCACAGAACAGATCAAGGCGATCATTTGAGCTTATAAAACTTAAACTTTGTTATTTATTTATTAAATGAGCGATCGTTTCGCTTGATAAGACCCTTATTCATCGTCTGGAATCGTTTAAAGCCCTTTGAACAGTTTGCACTGAAACTGTCTTTTGGACCTTGAACCGTTTGGTTCCCATTGAAGTCCATTGTTTCCAATGTTTTCATCAATGTTTTCAAGTGAACTACTCCTTTAAGCTGGACTGTGAGGCTATTTTCTTGCATTGTTTTCCTGATTTATGTGCATATGCCTAACCATACCCCTAATAAGCTGTATTATACACATGATATTGGCTATAATAAAAGCATGTGTTCAGTCCTGCTGGCGCTCGCTGTGGCGCTGAGGGGTTGCACGAGGCAGAACATGGGCAAGCGAGGGAGTTTGCTGGTCGGAGCGTCTGACGAGGACATCCGAGACAACGTCTTCCATTATGACGAGCAGGGGGGCGGAGAAGAGGACGAGGTGAGAGGGATACTAATTATCTGAAATAATGATATATTATGTAAAGGTCATACAATAGAGCAGAGGGGAAAAATATCTGCAGTATACAGTATGTGTTCATTTATCAAAATGTTCATTATATCTACAGCAGAGGACATTTTTACAGTCACTTTTGTATTTTATTTTTTACAATCGCTATGACACATTTCTCAATCCTTAGGTCACTTTGAGCTCAAAAGCAGTGTATGTGGGCTAATATAACAATACTTTCTCTGGCACAAAGGTGGATTTAGACATATCCGTGACGGAAATACAGTCATAATCTTTTATTACCCGTCATTTTAATGATAATAAGCCATTAGGCTCTGTTTTTGTTCACAAACGTACAGGACAAGCATGTATGCGATAATGCATTTATTTATTTATTTATGAAGAGACTGAGTCACTTTTCAGGTTTCATCGTGAACGTTTGTCCAGCTTTGTCTACTTTAATGAAGTTCTTAGCTTTCAAATTCTTTCCAAAGCTTGAAGAAATTGTTGGTTTGTTGTGTTTTTTGTAGTGAAATACCTAAAGCTGTTTCCGTCCAATAGGACGCATTTAATATCGATTTTCTGAGGAACCCAAGTGACACGGTCCCTGTGCCAGCCTCATTTTTCCCTCAAGACTGTGGCCTTCCCAGAGGAAAACAACCTCTGAGAAAAGATGCCCCCCATAACCTGCCTTCTCCTACATATCCACGCAAAGCCCCCGGAGACCCGACCGACATCGAAGACTTCATCAATGTTGTAAGAGACTTTTCTTACAGTCCCGCTTTATATTAAGTGTCTTTAACTATGTACTCGCATTTAAACGGATCATCTTTTGTTACGGTGTAGTTATACTTTTAAGGACCAACTGAAATGTACTTACAATAGGCTTTGGGGTTAATTACATGTAGTTGTGTACAATTTGTATTCGTAACATTTAACGTGTGGTCTTTAATGCAAATACACACACTGTAAATAAATATTGTTGGTTTAACTTAAAAAATGTAGTAACCTGGTTGCCTTAACTTTAAGTTCATTGAAATTGAAAAATTAAGTTAATACAATGAAGGAGATTGATTTAATAATCAGAAACTCAAAATATTATGTTATCTGAAGCACATAAATTATCTAATTTGATTTGACAGAAGAAAAAAACGTTATGATAACAAATCATGATTTTTATTTTTACAGTGTAGTAGTTAAAGAAATCCTAATATAAAGTGGAATAATAGTCAGTCTGAAATATTTGTGGGTAATTCACAGGAAAACTCCTTAAGTATTTAATTTTCAAAAATACCAATTTTCTTTAAGTACCACCATAATAAAAAAATAATAATAATAATTATTATTATTATTTTAATTATTTATTATAATTATTTTATTTTAATAATAATTTATTAAGTACCACCATAACAATAATGAGACACCGCAATAGTTATTCTCCTGTTATCCACAGTCCTGAATATGAGATTTATTAGTTGTTTCTCATTACTAATCCAAAAGAAAGGGTTGTTTAACTCTGTTAAAGCAAGTTTAAAATTTAGTGTTTGAAATTTTAAATCAGGATATTGTGATATCAATTGAAGTATTTAGTAAAAAAAAAAACAGTGAATATCATTTAAATTTATAAAATAAAATAAAATAAATGACCCGTTTTATGACCCATAAAGATGCAATGAATAGGAATGCACACACACTCTTAAAAATGCTGGGTGGTTTCAACGCAACGTTGGGCCAAATAGACTTGAATACACCTCATTCGTGCGTCAAGTTCACGCGAATTGAGCGTCTGGCACATTAAGCGCGTTTCGCGCGAACGATTTAGTAAGTGCTATTTGTGCATTCACGCGTTTGACGCAAATTCGCGTTAGTTGAAAAATCTGAAATTTGCCGTCAATTCGCGCTGCGTTAACCAATCAGGAGCCTGTTGCTTGCTCACGTGACGCGCGTAAATTTCGCTTCAAACTTTTGTTTTTACGCGTGTCAGTTAAGCGTCAAACTAGACGCGAATTTGACACTCTATTCACGTCCGGTGTGAACGCACAGATCGATTTGAAAACCGAATGCACTTTCTTCGGTGACAGTTTCCCTGTTTTCCGCTTGACCTGAACAGGGCCTGGACGCCGCCGACACGGACCCGAACGTCCCGCCGTACGACACAGCGCTGATCTACGACTACGAGGGCGACGGCTCGGTCTCGGGAAGCCTCAGCTCCATCGCCTCCATGGGCTCAGATGAAGACCAGGACTACGACTACCTCAACGACTGGGGGCCTCGCTTTAAAAAACTGGCTCACATGTACGACCCACGATAGACGGCGCACGGATTCTGCCGTTCAAGACGTCCAGATACTCTCAAACATCTCAAAGGGGAGGTTTACAGAATTGATAAATGGACTATATATTCCCCAGTGATATGATTTAGCTAAAGGTCATCAGTGTCAGAGGAGAGAGAAGGTCATGGATCAGGGAAGTATTTCAACATGATGCGACAGGTGTTGTGAAAGCACCAACTGTGGAGAGAGGAACCAAACCGATTAGACATGGTGCACACAGGGATGCCTTGTTCATAAAACGTTTGTCAAGTTCTTGGGGGATTATTTTAGCTGATGACCAATACTGAGGTTTGCTGAGCATGTGTAAATGGACAGAACGAAGCACCCCAAAATGAAACCGATACGCTTACTCACTCATAACTGGCATTCTAAACCCATATGACTGTCATGGAACACAAAAGGAGTTTTTTTTATTATATTTTGTTGAATTTCAGAGCTGCTCTTTTGTATATGCTCTTTTTTTTAATGTACACATACATGCATGCTTCCATTAAATCACCATTTTCAAAATCATAATAAAACTAACTAGTAGAGCCAGACCGATATTATCGGCCGATATTAGGCATTTTGCAAAATTATAATGGCCGATAAATGAATATTTAAAAAATAAAATAAAAACGGACGAAACACGCTTCAATCATCTCTCCTTGGCCTGTTATATTGAAAATGTATGTTTTACAATTTGCAGTATGATGTTATCTATTGCTAAATTATGGCTTATCATAGACTAGCTAACCACAAAGCTAGCTAACGCCACTATCATCAGTGGAAGACCGCTAACGGTAATATTAATGAGCTTGGAAACCACAATGAACTTGTAATAATTACTGTATTTATAACTAGCATATCTCTAGTTAAAGTCCCTGCATTGTAAAATGTAAGTAATACTTGCGAGGAGTGAACATTTAGACATTTATCTTGTGCAGAAAAGTTAGCTTTTCTTTTACACGTGTGTGAAATCCAACAATATTTAATAAATTATTATTATTATTTTTTTAAATATCGGCCGATATATCGGAATATCGGATTTTAAAACCCAAAAATATTTGTATCGGTATCGGCCTTCAAAATTCTTTATCGGTCGGGCTCTACTAACTAGTAAAAAAACAAAAACTCCACACGGCACAGATGTGGGCCGGATCTGGGCCGACACCATGTCGGAAAACAAACTACAATTGAACAAAGACACAAATGAAATAGACCTACCTGAAAAACTTCAAGCACTAGAAATAAGAAATACTTCGCAAATTGTATATCAAGTAATCAAATTTATAAAAACAATGCATAATCTTCAACATTGTAAAGTAAATATACATTTATTCGTATTAAGTGATTCAGTGAAGAGCAGTAAAGCGATTTTCTGTTCATCTTTTGTTGTTTGATCAACATTAATGACAGACGCACAGGTTTATTAGGCTTCTGTCACTTTAAGAACGAATGCACGGATCTAATAGACTGTTACACATGCGCTTTTTTCACTCAAGACATGAATGACGGTGTTTACGAGGACATTTTGACATGAGTATGTGTATTTAACAGTTAGACGTCAAAAATAATTTCTTATAATATGTGAAAGTGCCAATGAGATCTTTTAAACCTTATGTAATTTAAATAAAGCATGTTTGAGTCAATACTGTATTGATTCTTCAGGAATGTCTTTTTTAAGATTTATAGACTGAAAAAAATGACTTTTTAAACGTGATAACTTTGTTTTTCATTATTTTTATATATGACTAGTATATTGTGTAATATGTAATATTATTTTATTTCTTGCCTGCGATTTAACTTCAAAAGTATCTGAGACATTTAGAAAGCCTTAATATTAGTAATACTTATTTTAATATGCAGCGTAGCAGTTTGCCAAATTAATAATGCTTCAAATGTATATTTTTTTTGTTTTCCCCTTCAGGAACAAAATTTTACATAATTACACAATACCTATTATTATTATAGTTATTATTTTGTTTTGCTTCTCAATTTTGATTATAGTTTTGTTTTTAATATTTATTTCTTAAGAAAATGTAAAATTCTGTCATTATCTTTAGTTATGAATAAAAGATTGGAATGATACCCGTCTGTATTTTTAATAGGGATTCGTGATATATCGGATTCGGTATCGGCCGATATATGCTCATTTTTAATGTTAGCGTTATCGGCCTGATAAGAAAATTTGGCCGATATGTTAAAGCTGATAAATAATGGATTATTTTCTCCAGCTGAGATACTTCACATGCGCACTGATGTTTTGAAGTGGTTGAAATATGATTGGAATTGCTTCGAAAATACAGTTTGTCTGTAATATCGGCTACATAAAATTATCAAGAGAACATTATAATTGTGTGCTTTGGATATGGATTTAATGTTGGGACTTTTGTTTTTGTAATCAGACTCTCAAATATCGTATAGAAATTTGGATTTAGAGATTTATCACCCAATATATTTGATATCGGCTTTAAGATAAAGAATTATCGGTTATCGGTTCGGTCAAAATGTTCAAGGAAAATACAGTTTGTCTGTAATATCGGCTACATAAAATTATCAAGAGAACATTATAATTGTGTGCTTTGGATATGGATTTAATGTTGGGACTTTTGTTTTTGCAATCAGACTCTCAAATATCGTATAGAAATTTGGATTTAGAGATTTATCACCCAATATATTGGATATCGGCTAGAAGATAAAGAATTATCGGTTTCGGTCAAAATGTTCATCTCTAGGATGCACCGATATCAAATTTCTTAGCCGATACCGAAAACCAATTTGTTCAGAATGATATCGGCCGATACCGATGATGATAGTTTGGTTTTTCTTATGGATAAAACAAAATATCTCTCAATAATGCTGAAAACTATACAGAGAACCCTCTCATTTGGTACACTATAATAATAAAGGTTAAAATTAACAACAGAGCTATTATATTCAACTGCTATTTACTTCCAGATAATATTTACACTCAAATAAAAGCTGAAATGTTTGTATGAAACTCACTTACACATCTAAGGTAGTTTTCATAAGCACTTGTCTTTTTATTCATATTTTATTAACAGTAAATAAGCTCCTCTCTGTTTTTTTTTTTAAAAAGCTAACTAACAAATGGATAACTTTCCTTAGGTAAATGCAACATTAAATGATATTGTTCACAAACTCTTTTATTGACGTCTTTCCACGGTTGAAACACTGATTGAGACGTGATATGGATTTCGGTAAGTTGTAGAACTGTATCTTTCAACATACCTTCTGATGTTCATGTGTCTTTTTCTTGATATAATTTGCATTATAGTGGAAGAATAGACCCGCGCCCCACGCTGCTGCTTGAACCGAGACGCTACAGTGATCTGTCACATTTGAGAGTGTCAAAACACCATTTATTGTTTGAATTTCGTTAATTACACTCTTAGAAGAAAATGTTCTATATAGAACCTTAAAAGGTTCTATCAGCGCTACGTATTTGGAACCCCTAAAAGGTTCTATACACTCTTGAAAAAAGGGTTCCTCTGGGTTCTATATAGAACCCTGGGGTTCCATACTTGGCCAATAGAACCTTTTACCAAAAAAAATGGTTCTTTGTAGAACAGAGTCTGCTTTTATGTAGCTGTTTTAGCTGTTAATGCATTATTGTCACATTAACTTGCAGTCATGTTTTACCTCACCCTTTTCATTGACAGGATATAATCGGCACTGATCATCAGCTGTTTGTAAAAACATCAGTGCATCTTTAGTACATCCCTAATTTGTAACGGAGAAAAGAGACAGTGATTTAGTTTGCATATGATTGTTCTGGCAATTTATATTTAACCCTCAAACCGTATTGACTTTATAGCCTTTATGCCTGTAATTGTGGACAAATGTGGGCACTCAGGTGTGATCCTAATTTTTATTTATTATAAATGTTATATCACTGTCTTCGATAAAGTTTTGTCTAAGGTGTTTTTTTAGGCTATTATTATTTTGTGGGTATTTTTGAATGCATTTACTTCAAAAAGTACCATCCCAGATAGCAGACTGACATTGAATCAACGTGGAAATATGACATCGAAACAACGTTGATCTGACATTGTTTTGCTCATCGAATTAACGTTGAACCAACGTCAGACGCGTCATTCTTTCAAAACTAACGGAAAATCAACTTGAAATCAACGCGTTGTTTCAACGTTATGAAAGCAAACCAATTTTCGATTTTCATTTAGCTTTGAAGAATGCCGCGTCTGACGTTGGTTCAACGTTAATTCGATGAGCAAAATCAACGTTGTTTCAATGTCATGAGAGACGTCGTTTCCACGTTGATTCAATGTCAGTTTGCTATCTGGGATATTTGTAAATTAGGCTTTTTTTTATTTTTTTTACTTTTTTATAATTTTGGCTTATTTTAGAATGCTCTAAATTACAGTTTTTCCCATTCATTTCTATGGGTGCCCATTTTTGACCCAAATACAAGATTAAGTTGTTTTTTCCACTGATTTTTAACATTGTAGAATTGAGTAAAAAAAAAAAAAATTGTGTGTGTTCAGGAGGCAAACTTTGGAAAAGTAGCCAAGTCTTGCACCGCTCAGATCAAGGGAAGTATTTTTTTTTTTTTTAAATAAATCAAAACTATTTTGTCCACATTTGTCCATAATACGGTTTTAGGGTTAAAAAAGGTGAAATAATAATAGGAAATGCTTTATTTTAGTGTCCTTGTAACACATTGCATGTAGTTACTACCGTAATAACTATAAATCATGCAATTACATGTAACTAAACCACATGTCAATATTACTCACTTGTGATATTTCTGAGGATCGATTGACAGAAATGCAATATAAGATCTATAACTGTGTGTATAAAGACTTTCATCAATGAACCGTTATGTTTTTATTACCTTAGAATGAGACATTTATATCTAAATAACTGCGGGCACCCCCTTCTATGAAGGTCGACATATTGTGACGTCATGTTTCTACCGTAGCCGAACACGAACAAACAGAGATAGTTGTGTGTGATGATGACATTGCCTGTTATTAGTCTAGTTTCATGTGAGCATGGCTGCTGATTATTCCTGTGCCGTGTGCTTGTCTAATTGTTAGCTCCTCCCTTCTCATTATCTGTTTAGTATTAACAGTCGTCACCTGTTGTCTCATTACCCTCCTGTGTGTGTTTCAGTTCATTTAGTTCATGTCTAAGTTCTCGCTTATGTTTCCTGATTATCCCGTGACAGAGAAGCTGCAGAAAGCCAAACTCCGTGAGTAGTGATTATTTTCCCTTGTCAGTGGTGTAAAATATGTAGTTGGGATTGTTTCATGTAACTTAGTTCTCCCTCGCTGTGGCTTTGACAATATGCCTTATGTATTGAAAATATCGGCAGCGCCATCTTTGATTTTTAATGAGAATGACAGCGAGGCTGTGAGGGATAGATCTGCATCTCTTCGATGACTGTACTGTTATATATTGTGTTTTCGGATTGTTCTGTTTATAAAACACTGGAAAAATATCTTTCCAAGAAATTTCAGTTGACAAAAAACTCCCGACCATGTAAGCTGTGGAAAATTGCAGAAGTAATCTAGGAGCTTTATTCAGCTTTTTACAGCGGATGCCATTGGAAACATGGTACGTCTATCCCTCACAGCCTCACTTTCATACCTGTCATGGCGCTGCTCTGAATATGGTCTATTGGCTGATTAATACTGACCGTAAAACAGTAACATAACGTTACAGGGGTCACCAACCGGTCAATCGCGGTCGACAAGTCCGTCTTGGAAGAATTTTAAATCGATTGCGAGAGTTTTCCAAACCAGAGGGAAAAAAAACAATATTTTTATTAATTATTATCATTTATTCATTTGGGTGTAGTAAATGGTGTCTATAGGATATGGAGAGACACGCGCGCTGTTACAATCATGTAATTTTTGCCGCACGCACCTTTGCGCTCATGTGGACGTGTCAAGTTTAACCCTCTGGGGTTGTTCGTTTCAGAGTCACACTTAGGGTGTTCAGGTCCAAATGGACCCAAAGGGCGGGATTCATATTTAAAAAAAAAAAAAAAAAATCATGATTTTTTTTTTTTTTTTTTTACTCATTTTTTATAATATTTTTTCTTTTCTTTTTTGGTGTTTTGAGAAAATTTCAAAAATAAAACAAATTTATAATTAGTATTAATGCAATAATTATGACAAAATTTCCCCCCATTGAACATAATAGAAAAAATATTTTTTAAAAATATATTTTTTTAAAAGCTGTTTCATTTTAGAGTCAAGCCTAGGCCTCATAAAAGCAATTTTTGAAATGAGATGGATGCCATCTGGTGGACAAACTGAGCATTTTAAAAATGCAAAACACATGTATAATCTGAATTTTTTTTGGTGTGTGTGTGTGTGTCTGTTTTGCACTCTTGAGGTTTATAGATTTACCCCTTCACTGTTGTTTGCTTTTTTTCAAGATTGTGGCTGATTTGTAGATTGTACGCACAAAAAACTCAGTATTTTCACATTTTTGCCAATTTGCCATTCATTTTCGGACCCGAACACCCCAAGTGTGACTATTTTTTTTACAACCACTTAGACTACTCACATCCTGTCCCCAATTTTTTTGGGTGTTCAAAAACCAAATACCAACAAAGTCACCAAATTTCGGACCATTCAGAGGAAGCTGTGATTTAAAATTTTTTTATTTAAATTCTTCTGGTCCATTTGGGCCGAACAACCCCAGCGGGTTAAACAAGGCTTTACGCTTTAACCAGCTCAGACACAGAAACGGCTCATATTAGCCAGATAAACTTTTACTACCCTGTTAGAAAACATATATACGCAGTTGCTTAGTTTCATGTGGTTCTTCTCCCTCGCTGTATTATGGGTTTGCTATGTTGGGAGAAATGTGTTTATTATTATTAATTATATTATATATTAACCCTTGTGCTGCATTAGATTTTTAACACCGTTGAGTGCATTAAGGACCAAAAATGGCCACATATTAAACATTGCCTAAAATATTATATATTATTATTATTTTCCACTTTTACCAAGTTAAATCTTTTAACCAGCATCAGTCCTCATCATAACTACCAAAAATGTATTCAATTTCAGGATTTTAACCCTTTAATTACCAGTTTTGTTTGCGAAACCATCGATTTGTATAAGAGGAAAAAACACAAAAATTCAATTATTTTCAATAAACTAAATGCAAAGAGAAAACTTTAGATTTGGATTATCACAGTCCCACTTTGCAAAAAATCCCACTTAGCGCGTTAGAGACCAAAAATGGCCACCTATTAAACATTGCCTATTGCCTAAAATAAGGTGCATTTCCACCCATAGGGAATAAATATGTAGTGACGTCATCTGGTGGAATACACAATATAATGCAAATATAATGCTTTTGCTTCAAAATGAAAGGATGTTTGTGCAAAAATCATGTTTCATGTATTACTGACAGCCTCAGATTTAAACGTTTTAATGGGTTTCAATGGGCCATTTTTGGTCTTTATGGTGCTGAGTGTTACTATTTGATCTACACAGTGTGTGTTATACATATTTTGCAAAATGGGATCACATTTTTTACATGTATCCAAAAAGTCACAATTTTGCCAAATTTCATACCATTTGCATTAAAACAGCCAAAATGGTCAAAGAAATTAAACTGCAAAAGACCAAAAATGTCCTTAATGCAGCATAAGGGTTAAGACCCTTGATCCTTACCTGACTATGGCTTTGTAAACTTTATCTATGATGTGGTATGTTTGTCCCCTTTGAGCCACCGTAGCTTCTTCGAAAGGGAGGGGTGAGCAGTGGGCGGAGCCAATAGTGCAAACTCACAACCGAACCACTAGATGCCGCTAAAATCTACACACTGCACCTTTAAATGTATAATTACACTGAAACAATGACGCCTTAAAATAAAGTGTCACTACTTCATAACAATAAAAGTTTAGTCATCCACCAAAAGAATCACATTAGACATTGCACACAAGAATAACAATTTATTACATATGGTGCAGAATATATCCACTGACATCGCAAGATGACTTCAGATTTACAGCTGGCAATGCTAACTCCGTCTAACAAAACCAGTTTGAGCTGATCTGGAAAAGACGCTCAACTGTTTTAAAAACCGATTTCGTGTAATTCTCAAAGGAGGTTTCTGCTACTCTTTAAAAGAGTGAAAAAAAGCTCTTAAATGCTTGATTGATGCTTAGACGTTGCCTTTATTTCTTAATCAAATGTCCTAAAGACATTTAAATTACAGATGAAACTGGAAAAATTCGAATATCATGCAAAAGTTCAGAAATAACAACTTAACAGGTGAAACTAATATATTATATGGACTCGTTACATGCAAAGTGAGAGATTTGATGATTATGTTTTACAGCTGAAAACCTTTTCACAGTATTCTAATGTTGAATTTGGTGTTTTCATAAGCTGTAAGCCATAATCATCACAATTATAACAAATAAAAGCTTGAAATATCTCACTTTGCATGTAATGAGCCTATATAGTATATTAGTTTCAGCTTTTAAGTTGAATTACTGAACTTTTGCATCATATTCTAATTTTTCCAGTTTCACCTGTATAATTACAAGCCAAAATAATCCAATCAGCGAAGAACACATGTTGCCGTTACTGTTCAGTCAGTCCGGACATCAAAGATTTGGGGTTTTTTCTTCCCCAGATCCAGTGTGTTTGCGCTCACGCTGGGCTCAGGTTGATCTCGTCGTCCTGCGTGTCTTTGCGGGGTCTCTGGGGTCTGCGGGGCTCGTCTTCTCCAGTGTCCTGCTTGTCTCGTTCGGCCTCCACCCAGCTTTGAGGAGCAATCATCTTTTTGGGACCAAACGGAGAAGGTCCAAGCAAAGCCTCGATGTCGTCATAGTTGACCACTTCCCTCTCGAGCAGGGCATTAGCCAGCTGAAAACACAGTTCTCCATGATCAAATCAAACATTTAGTTTTCTTCAATCACTGGAATCACTGAAGCTAAAAAATAGTTTCCATTTTAGCGGTTTTCACTAATATACTGAGGGGTCCGAGATAATTTTGCATGCTTAAAGGATTAGTTCACTTTTGAAAACTTTTACTGACAATTCACTCGCCCCCGTGATGTCATCCAAGATGTCCACGTCTTTCTTTCTTCAGTCGAAAAGAAATTAAGGTTTTTGATGAAAACATTCCAGGATTTTCTCCATATAATGGACTTCAATGGGAACCAAACGGTTCAAGATCCAAATGAGAGTTTCAGTGCAAACTGTTCAAAGGGCTTTAAACGATTCCAGACGATGAATAAGGGTCTTATCAAGCGAAACGATCGCTCATTTAATAAATAAATAACAAAGTTTAAGTTTGTGACTCTTCTGTTCGAACTCGTTCATCAAAATGAACAAATCTTTTTCAGAGTCAATTCGTTCGTTGAATGAACCAAATGACTCGGAAAAAGATTTGTTCATTTTGATAAGCTTATAAAACTTAAACTTTGTTATTTATTTATTAAATGAGCGATCGTTTCGCTTGATAAGACCCTTATTCATCGTCTGGAATCGTTTGAACAGTTTGCACTGAAACTCTCATTCGGACCTTGAACCGTTTGGACCCCATTGAAGTCCATTATATGGAGAAAATCCTGGAATGTTTTCATCAAAAACCTTAATTTCTTTTTGACTGAAGAAAGAAAGACGTGGACATCTTGGATGACATGGGGGTGAGTAAATTATCAGCAAAAGTTTTATTAAAAGTGAACTACTCCTTTAATTTTGAGTGTAAACGAGAATGTACTGTAATGAAATAATGTGAGCGTGTTATGAAAAGTACGAAAAAGAGAGAAATGAATGGATCCGCCAAGACGATCCAGGTCCATATTTTCTTCATGCTATGTGCGAATAGTTGCTATTTATACTTAGTCCAAATAATGGTAGACACTATTTCCACTTCAGTGTATTTTGGTATGCAGTAATAACATATTCAGCGTATGTAATTATGTTTATTAAACTCATTAATAGAGGCTGCCTAATTGGGAGATTACTTCCTAAAGCTCTTCCCTACACCTAACCCTACTAGATAAACGCTATATTCCCACTAGTTATGCACTTTATTTCCACTTTTCAAATATTTTCTTCATTTTTATTTAAAACAAACTCATCTCTGATGGGAAAAGTGAGAACAATGAGATCGGAAAAAGGCAAATTTGAATGGATAAGTACATATTTCGGAAATATTATTACACCATTTAAACGTTAAAAATACATACGGAGTGACTCTAACAATCCCTGCCATAGAATAGACTTATTTGTTCACAGTTTGAACGTTCAAATGTGGATTATCTAATGTCACTTTCAATGTCTATAAAGGTCAGGCAAAATTATATTCAAACTCACATTGGACGGTTTTAACATTAAATAAAGCACACAATCAGTACCTGAGATTATCACTGTTATACTTTGTCTGTTGTTGTTCTAGCCGCGACGTCACGAAAAATAGAAACTGATTTAAACTCCGATTAACACGGAAAAGAGGCCTTTTATCAAGTGTCGTGTCTGGTTATATAAAGAACATTCATAAATTTATCTTCATTTCTTAACCTCTTTTTGGGAAGAATGATCCTGCTGTGCTAACAAGGACGTGAGCATATCTTACCAAGATAAGTTTGTCTCTGTTGTCCAGAAGCAGTTTCTCTGTGCGCCGGTAGGCCTGTGCTATTAGCAACTTAGCTTCCTGAACACGGGAGAAAGCAATAGAAATAAATAACCACACACATATATTCAAGATAAATGAGATTTAAGCTATTTCACATAGCACTTTTTACAATACACATCATTTCAAAGCAGTTTTACAGAAAATGCACGAGTCCACATTACAATTTACAGTGATCTGTTATCAGAGGACACTGTCTGAGTTATGGATTTCAGAAATGTAATCACAGTTAGCTAAAAATTTATTAATGTAGCCCTCAAAACGTATTGACTTTAAAGCCCTTAATCCTGTAATTGTGGACAAATGTGGGCACAGAGGACTCAGGTGTGATCCTAATTTTTATTTATTATAAATGTTATATCACTGTCTTCGATAAAGTTTTGTCTATCCATTTATGGTGTTTTTCTTATTTTGGGGGTATTTTTGAATTTATTTACTTCAAAAAGTACCATATTTTCTATGTAAATTATGCTTATTTTTATGTTTTATTTTTTTTAACTATATTAAAATATCATTCCAATAAGTTCTTAGAGCTAAAACCTAAAGATGAAGTGATTTTGCTGTCTTATTTTAGACTGCTCTAAATTACAGTTTTCCCCATTCATTTCTATGGGTGCCCATTTTTGACCCAAATTCAAGATTAAGGAGTTTGTTTTTTTCACCGACTTAACATTGTAGAATTGAGTCAAAAAGAAATTGTGTGTGTTCAGGAGGTAAACTTAGGAAACGTAGCCAAGTCTTGCACCGCTCAGATCAAGGGAAGTATTTTTAAAAAAAAAATCAAAACTATTTTACCCACATTTGTCCAGAATTCGGTTTTAGAGTTAAACAACGTAAAAATTTAAAGCAGAAACAATGAGCTCATTGAAGTAATGAATACTTATTTGTTAACAAATGATTATGACATTTAACAAAATGTAGCTTTGGTGCACGATTAATCGCAATTAGGCTCCTAGGGCAGCGAAGCAAGTGCATTCTGGGAGTTGTTGTCTTTCATCCACAAAATACATTTTCTGGCTTTTCTCAGTCTAGAAAGCTCCAAATTCAAACATAATTTCACATTTCTTCTACATAAATGACCCATTTTAAATGCACATTCGTCTCTCCAGAGGTGGAGTATCCCTGTACTCACATGGTCCATCTGCTGTTGGAGGCCTTGGCTGAATGGTCTCCGTCCAATTCCTCCCTGATCATCTTCAGGGAAGGACATCTGGCCCACGCTGGCAACCATGCCGTACTGCTTCACCATGGAGTAGGCCACGCGCGTCACCTTGCGTAGGTCATCCTGAGCACCTACGAGGAGTTTATACGTTATCTGGCGTCCGGCATATATCCTATGAAGTCAGGTCTGTGTGTGGACACCCATTGACCTTACACCAGTGGCTACTTAACCACGCCTGGCAGATGTGGTGTCAGGTAGTGTTCATTTTATCAGCTATTTTTTTTTTTTTTTTATTTAGTCAGGCTTAGTCCTATGGAAGCTTGTTAGACTTGGAATACAACAATTTAAAAGAAAATTGTGACTATTTCTCAGAATTTTGTGATATAAAGTCGCAATTTTGTGTTATAAAGTCCAATTCTAAAGAAAAAAATCCCTTTTTTCCTGTGAGTTTATAGACCAGTGGCTACTTAACCACGCCTACCACTTTTCAAGGGCGGGTCCGTCAAGTAAAAAAAGACGTACCTGATGATTTTGGAATAAATGCGTCCAATTAGAGCAGCACAATTAATCATGATTCTTCTGACTCTTAAAACTTTGATAAGTACGATCACAGCAAAGAGTTTGGTCCAGAGAGAGCCGTTGTCATGATATGAAACGTTTATAGTTTGAAACGTTGATGCGTATAGTTTATAGTTCAGATATAAACACTGATGTCTACGGTAGCGATCAAAATAGAGGAAATTACTTTTTGAATAAATTACAAAAATTACTAAAAAATGTATTTGTCATCAAATAATTCAAGAGATTCGTTCAAATGCGCATATTAACCCAGTAACGAAACAAGTTTAGTCTTTAATAAGTCATTGAATCATTCACTCAACTCGATTTACATTTGGTTTTTTCAAATTAATTAAATTATTATTTTTTTAAATAGACTAGAGCAATTATTATAGTTAACCTCTTAATTGCATGTTAATTTGTTGAGCTGACTATTCAGAATTGTGGGAGAATCATGATCTCTATTTTAAAACTTCAAATGCAGTTTATGATAGTTTGACATCATGCATAAATCAAGATGTGCATCATGTTGTTATTTGAAACTCTAAATATAATAAATTACAACGGGACATCTACCCAAGTCGTCAAACACTGACATTAACATGCAGAAACAATGTGTACGGACAGATTGCAGATGCAAACATGTAAATAATGCATTTATTGTGGGTATTTTCCTTAAAATAAAGTTAACAGAATGACATATTGACATATATTTAAAGCTGTTCAGGAGCACCATGTGCACTAGAGCATGTTTGATCCAACATTTGACGATAATGAACAGAAAGCCTTTAACTAGCCACTCTGGATATCTAGTATCCAAAGGACGTGCTTTAATGCCTTTTAACCATAGAAAAAGGAATTTATCTGTGTCTGACAGTTCAAATGGCTAATAGCAACAGGGCTTCTTAGAGCAGCGATTTGATTCGTTATTTGGGCTATCAATAATTTTTCTGCCATTCCTATCAAATAAATATTTCAAAGTCAAAATGTGTGTTTCCTCCAGGGGGCGCTCCTGAGCACCAATAAAATCTGCTTATACTATTTTTTAGGTATGCATTTGCATTTCTAATTGCATTGCTGGTGTGTTATGAGATTATATAAGTGCGTAGAATTGATGCCATACCTGTGGTGACCTTATTGAAGGTGATGGCCTCAGAGGCTCGTCCGCCCAAAGCCATGCACATCCTCTCAAACAGCTGCTCTTTGGTGAACAAATACTGATCCCTCGGCAGGATCTGAGCGAAGCCCAAAGCGGCATTCGTCCTGGGAGCGATTGAGACCTGAAGGACAAGGACACGGATCAAAAGGCCGGCCCACCACAATGCAAATATAGAATGTAATGCAGTGAGTGGGGGCGGGGCTCATTTGCATATTCATAGAACCGCGTGCTAAATGAGGCGAGGGTGTCGAGTTGCATTCAAGGCATGAAGACTTTTTTTTTTCCAAGGAAAAAAATTTAAATATGTAATTTTAGTGATCAAATATGAGTTTTAAGGAATAAAATTTGCCTTTTTAAATCCAAATTGTGAATTTTTTTTTTTTTCGCAGGCAGTGTAATAATATAATATAGGCACAAAATAATGTAATATATATTCATGTCTTAATGCCACACTGTCTTTGTCATTCTTAATTAAAAATAAATTGTTATTTAATTACTAATATCTATTTCTGATAATCCCAGTTTCGTTTCGAGAGTTAAAGTGAACCGAACATGTCCCCTCCCGACCACCATACACGCACGTCTCACAACTCGAAACATTCGAATATCGTGCAAAAGTTCAGTAATTCAACTTAAAAGCTGAAACTAATATACTATATAGACTGAGATATTTCAAGCCTTTATTTGTTATAATTGTGATGATTACGGCTCACAGCGGTAAACTTTTCACAATCTTCTAATTTTGAATTTGGGGAATTGAAGTTTTCATAAGCTGTAAGCCACAATAATCAAATTTATAACAAATAAAGGCTTGAAATATCTCACTTTGCATGTAATGAGTTCATGCTAGTTTCACCTTTTAAGTTAAATTACTGAAATAAATGAACTTTTGCACCATATTCTAATTTTTGGTGGTTTTTGACAGCATTTACCTTCATGACAGCTTCGGTGTGTTCTAGCAGCCATCCGACTAAAGCATGACCAGACTCATGGAAGGCCACCACCTTCTGCTCCTCTTTAGATAAGATTTTATTCTTCTTCACACTCCCTGCAGGTCACAAACATCATCAAACAGAGGCTGACGGAGCAGAAACCTCTAAGGTTATATGATCGCTGGATACCTGCGATGACTCTCTCCACAGCATATTCGAAGTTAAAGGTATCGATGGACTTGAATCCCTCTCTGGCGGCGTGAAGGGCGGCTTCATTGCAGATGTTGGCGATATCGGCCCCTGGAAAATATGAACCAAGTGGCAGATGAGGTGTCAGGTAGTGTTCATTTTATCAGCTATTTTTTTATTTTTATTTTTTCATTTAGTCAGGCTTAGTCCTATGGAAGCTTGTTTGACTTAGAATACAACTATTTAAAAGAAAATTGTTACTATTTCTCAGAATTTCGTGATATAAAGTCGCAATTTTGTGTTATAAAGTCCAATTCTAAAGAATCCCTTTTTCCTCAGAATTGTGAGTTTATATCTTGCAATTGTGAGTTTATACACCAGTGGCTACTTAACCACGCCTACCGCTTTTCAAGGGCAGGTCCATCAAGTAAAAAAGACGTACCTGATGATTTTGGAATAAATACGTCCAATTAGAGCAGAAACGAGATTTCCTTAGATTTCCATGACGAATGCGCGAGAATTGCGATCTCCTTTAACTACTTCAGTTCAGTTCTCGCGCATGCGTCATGGAAATCTAAGGAAGTCTCGTTTCAGGCCAACAAGGAAGAAAAGGAATAGTCGAATAAACTCGTTATTTTTGTTTGTTTTTTCGCACAAAAAGTATTCACGTCGCTTGATAAACATATAGTTGAGCCACGGTAGTCACTTGGGATATTTAAACATTTTCTTCATTGACTTTCTGGGCCGTCAAGAGCCAGTCCCTTAGGAGCCAATGTGGTAGTTATACAGCTCTCAAATTTAATCAAAAATATCTTCATTTGTGCTCCGAAGACGAACGAAGGTCTTACGGGGTTGGAACAGCATGGGGGTGAGTAATTAATGACTTAATTTTCATTTTTGGGTGAACTAACCCTTTAATTAATTACGGCGTATTTGAAAAAAAAAGCCCTTGCATAAACATGTGGACATCGGCTGATTATGCACTAAATCATGCGTTTTTCTGGAGGGACTGGTTGTTTTGTGACAACTCTATAGGAAGTCTAGTTTCCCCTTAAAGTGGATGTTAGGGATGGGCAACGATTAATCGCGATTAATCGCATCCAAAATAAAAGTTTGTGTTTACATAATATATGTGTGTGTGGTGTGTATAATTAATTTGTATATATAAATACCCACACATGCATGCATATATTTAAGAAATATGTGCATGTAGATATTTTATATATATATTTATTCACAATTAATATTATATATAAATATAAATATTTGATATATTAATAACACATTTTCTTAAATATATACATGCATGCGTTAGTATTTTATATATACAAATTAATTATACACACTACACACACATATATATTATGTAAACACAAACTTTTATTTTGGATGCGATTAATCGTTGCCCATCCCTAGTGTGCATCTGTTCAGAGACGTTGCGCCGGTTGTGAGTGTACGGTCCAACAGCACTGACCGCTGAAGCCGGGGGTAAACTCAGCCAGACGCAGCGAGTAGAAGTCCGCCGGCTGCGTCAGCTTCAGGATCTTCAGGTGCTGCTCAAAGATCTCCTTCCTCTCCTAGAACACAGGAGAGGATAAGACACATGCAGTGGATAAGACACATGCCTTTGGTGTGAGAGACCCGGGTTCGAATCCACTGTGAGACACCAATGTGTCCCTGAGCAAGACGCTTAACCCCCTAGTTGCTCCAGAGGCGTGCGACCTCTCACATATATAGCAATTGTAAGTCGCTTTGGATAAAAGCGTCAGCTAAATGAATAAATGTAAATGAATTAACACACTCCTGAGAAGGTAATATGGCTAATATGGAAGTGGTCATTACACCTTGAGTTATTCTCAATAACTCAACAGACAATTATTCCACGTATACTACGATTTCCAACGCGCATTTACACTCTACCAAACAAAAGTTAGGAATACTTACCTTTTTTAGTTTTTTTACTTTTATTCTCACTAAGGCTCCATTTATTTGATCAAAAATACAGTTTGTTAGTTTTTAACGCTTCTGTGGCTATTTTTATGGTGAGAAATTAATGGTAAAACTGTTTCAGGTTTTTACAATTTATTTTTTGCTAAAAACTCTAAAACTATATATGGTTTAACCGAGTTGAAAAATGTATAACCAACACAATCTAAAAAACCATCAAGCTTTAATGATGAAGAGATGACAGAAAAAAATCATCTATTATTAAAATAGTCGCATAATTCTTCAGAAATCATTCTAATATAATGATTTGATCCACAAATGTGATCAATTATTATTCATTTATCATCATTTAGTCATTTAGCAGAGGCCTTTATCCAAAGCGACTTACAACAGAGGATTAAACCAAGCGAGTCAATAAACTAACACTTTACACAAAGGGTTAATATGTTAACATTAAGTAATGTATTAATTAACATAAACTAACAATGAGCAATAGATTAGTTACAGTATTGTGTTTAACTAATGTACTTTGTACCGTAAATTGAACAGCTTTTACTAATGTTAAAAAAATACAACTTTTAATTTTAATAATGTATTAGTAAATGTTTAAATTAACTAACTAAGTTTAATAAATGCTGTAGAATTATTGTTCATTATGAGTTAATGTTAATGAATGCAGTTGCTAATGTAAAATAATAAAACCTTATTTCAATAATAGGTAAGACTTTACAAAAGTTTCTTATTATCAATGTTGAAAACAGTCGTGCTACTTAATATTTTTGTGATGCATTTCAATCTCAGGATTATTTGAAAAATAGAAAGTGCAGTGTACATCATTTATTTAAAATAGAAATCTTTTGTAACATTTTAAATGTCTTTACTGTCACTCCTGATCAAATCAATGCAACCTTGCTTAAGTTAAATCATAATTATTCCACAAAAAATATTAAGCAGCAAAAACTACAATAATCTGAAATGTTTCTTGAGCATCAGATCATCATATTCGAGTGATTTCTGAAGGATCGTGTGACACTGAAGACTGGAGTAATGATGCTGAAAATAAATACAAATAAATTACACTTTCCTATATATTCACATAGAAAACAGCTGATTTTGAGTTGTAAAAATATTTCACAATTTTTACTGTATTTTTGATCAAATAAATGAAGAGACTTCTTTCAAAAACAATTTAAAAAGCATTAGTTTGTCACAGGACATTGATCTGGATTTCTTTGAAAAATCATCTAAATCACTCCAGAAATATAAAATAACCCATCAGACTCAAGACTTCTGTGGCTGCGGCGTAACTTTGACCCTTCATTACCTGAAGAGTTGGCAGGTCGATAAATATGTGCCTATCGAGCCGGCCGGGTCTCATGAGGGCATTGTCCAGAACATCTGCGCGATTAGTGGAAGCCAGGACAATCACATGATCTGTGGTTCCCATTCCTGGAGAACAGAGATGGGGAATATGCAGATAACAGGGTGTCTACAGATATAAACAAGTTGCATTTAAGACTCAAGACCTTTTTAATGCCACTTTAAATGAAATTTAAGACCAAACCTGTGATGGAAATACCCAAGTAATTTAATATTAAATACTTGTTTATTGTACTAAAATCATATATGAGATTATTCAGAAAAAAAAATAGCTCCCGTCATGTTATGTTACGTAACTATATCATATTATAAATGTGAATTTTTACCTCAGTTTGTTTCTTCTGTAAGTTTTATGTGCTGTTTTGCTCATTTGTTTTGATTTATCACTATAAAATCGCTCAAAGAGACAGGCAGCGCGAGTCACAACTCACTTTTTGCGTTTTGAAATAATTTATTACTTCTAATATATTGTAATTACGGAAGAGGATTAGGGCCAACCAATAATAAAAAAATAAAAGCATCTCGAGATTAAAGTCATTATAATGCAATATTAAACTTGTTAAATTTCGAGAAAAAAAGTCGAAATACAAACTTGAGAATAAAGTCGTTGTTTCGAGAAAAAACTTGTTAAATTTTGAGAAAAAAAGACTAAATACAATCTTGAGAATAAACTCATTAATTTTCGAGAATAAAGTCGTTGTTTCGAGAAAAAATTGTTAAATTTCGAGGAAAAAAAGTCGAAATGCAAACTTGAGAATAAAGTCGTTGTGTTTCGAGGAAAAAAAACGTGTTAAATTTTGAGAAAAAAGACTAAATACAATCTTGAGAATAAACTCATTAATTTTCGAGAATAAAGTCGTTGTGTTTCGAGAAAAAACTTGTTAAATTTCGAGAAAAAAAGTCGAAATACAAACTTGAGAATAAAGTCGTGTTTCGAGAAAAAAATTGTTAAATTTTGAGAAAAAAGACTAAATACAATCTTGAGAATAAACTCATTAATTTTCGAGAATAAAGTCGTTGTGTTTCGAGAAAAAACTTGTTAAATTTCGAGAAAAAAAGTCGAAATACAAACTTGAGAATAAAGTCGTTGTGTTTCGAGAAAAAACTTGTTAAATTTTGAGAAAAAAAGACTAAATACAATCTTGAGAATAAACTCATTAATTTTTGAGAATAAAGTTGTGTTTCGAGAAAAAAATAAAAACTTGAAATACAATCTTGATAATATACTCATTAATTTTCGGGAATAAAGTCGTTGTGTTTCGAGAAAAAACTTGTTAAATTTTGAGGAAAAATGTCGAAATACAATCTTGAGAATAAACTCATTAATTTTCGGGAATAAAGTCGTTGTGTTTCGAGAAAAAACTTGTTAAATTTCGAGAAAAAAAGTCGAAATACAAACTTGAGAATAAAGTCGTTGTGTTTCGAGAAAAAAATTGTTATTTTGAGAAAAAAGACTAAATACAATCTTGAGAATAAACTCATAAATTTTCGAGAATAAAGTTGTGTTTCGAGAAAAAAATAAAAACTTCAAATACAATCTTGAGAATATACTCATTAATTTTCGGGAATAAAGTCGTGTTTCGAGAAAAAACGTATTAAATTTTGAGGAAAAATTACGAAATACAATCTTGAGAATGAACTCATTAATTTTCGAGAATAAAGTCGTGTTTCGAGAACAAAAACTAAAAAAAAAAAAAGTTTATTCTCAAGATTGTATTTTGACTTTTTTTCTCTAAATTTAACGAGTTTAATTTCGCATTATAATGACTTTAATCTCGAGATGGTTTTATTTTTTTATTATTGCTTGGCCCTAATCCTCTTCCATACTGCGCAAAGCCTTTGAAAAAAAAAAAAAAGAAGCAACACAAATAATGCAGACAACTAGTATTTTGAGTGTCTTACCGTCCATCTCCACGAGCAGCTGATTGAGGGTCTGCTCTTCCTCGGTGTTTGAGAAACCAGACATGTTTGTGGAGCGTTTCTTCCCCACGGCATCGATCTCGTCGATGTAGACGATGCATGGAGCTCGAGCACGAGCCTCTTTAAAAAGACTTCGCACTCGTGCGGCACCAAGGCCTGGGTGGGGAAAATCACTCAGATTTAGCTATTAATGGCAATGGCATTTGAATAATAATCTCTAATGCCAGCCACAAATGGATTTTCCGTTTGATATCCGGCGTTGATATTGTGAACTAATGTATTGGAAACACTGTAATATAATTAGACAACTATCAATTACTGTTTAACCAATCCATTCTTCACTGTCACGGTTAGTAACACACACAGCTCAGTGCAACAGTGAAAAGACCCTCTCAAACAGTGTCGCGTCGCGTTCCTAATGTTGTTAAAGCGACTGTACCCATATTGGGGTATATTAAAAATTAATATCACAGGGTTCCCCACACCTCGGTTAACTTCAAATTCAACACTTTGAACACGTTGGTCGAACAACAAGCGTTGAGATACCATCGTAGTATTTTTGTGCGCGTGTGAATGTCATGGCAACGTACAACACAAAGTACCTCACGTGGGAAACTCTTAACGTAACGGGTAAATGCGCGTAACTAAAGTAAATCAAGCAAGCTAGTGCGCATAGACCACAGTGATGGCGAAATAACACACTAGTGGACTGGAATTTTTTTTTTCAGAAAACTTCTTGCACAAAATAAATTCAAGGACTTATTTCTATGCACGTTTATTTTCTAAATCTTTTCCAGGGCTTTGAAAGTTTGTGAAAAAAAATCAAGGATTTCAAGGTGGAAGCCCTAATATCACTACAAAAATAAACACTGGTATTCGGTATGAACCGAATTAATGAATCAGTATGAATTCTGTTTGCGTTTTTATAGCTTGTGCAGAGATAAAAAAAAACAAACATATATATTTCTATGTTTTCTTCAAAGCTGGCATCAAGGTTTTTAGAATTCTGCCGTGTTAGCGGTGATTAAGTTAATAACTAATGATCTTTGCAACTGAAGTGAATCGATCAAAACTTTGGCTGGACAATAACTTTATTCAAGATCTGCTGTAGAGCCAAAACAAAATCTGTAATTTCCTTTCATCACTTTAAAGCTGCTTTGAAACCATCTATATTGTTAAAAGCGCTGTATAAATGAAGGTGAACCAGTACACCGTCTTATTTACCTCCAATCACCTCCACAAACTCTGACCCTGCCATGGCGAGAAAGGGCACCTGAGCCTCGGTCGCCACTGCTTTAGCCAGCAGGGTTTTCCCACAGCCAGGGGGTCCCAGGAGCAGAGAGCCTTTCGGGACCTTGGCCCCGAGCTGAAGGTATCGGTCGGGATTCTTCAAAAGAAAATAATTATCGTTAGTTTCTTCATACGATCGAGTCAACGGCAGCCCATGGAACCGTTTGCGGGAAAGTTATGAGATTTGGCACACCGATAGAGAAATGTTACCACAGCAAATTTGGAGTGTCTAACTCGAACCCTCTGGCGCCACCTACTGTCCAATTTTGCACTCATGTTTATGCAAATAACTTTTGAACCGTAAGTGATAGAAACAAAATTATTTTACCTCTGATTCCGTTTTGATTTGATTTTAAACTCTTCAGACCAAAAGGTATAGAATTAATCAAACTGTGCTTGACAAACGAGCAAAACCAATTTGACCAAAGGATATAGAATTGACCCATTAGGGCAAGAAACATTTCATCGATTAGATTGCACCACGAGACATAATTTTCCCGTCTTGAAATTTATTTAGCCATTTATAATTTTCTGAAAAAAACTTTTTTTCAACCCCTCCTAGACAGTTGCTTCGATTTTTTTTTTTTTTTTTTTTTTTTTTTTTTTTATTTATTTATTTTATTTATTTATTTTTATTCAAAAAAAATGTAATTAAGTCATGTTCAGACCACGCAAAGTTACAGAACTCAAGTTGATTCGTCAAACCGGAGTTGAAAAACGAGAGAACGAATTCGACAAAGGGGATGTCGCTAAGTCAAACCTTCTAGCGCCACCAACTGTCCAATTTTGTTTATGCTAAACTTTTGAACCAAAGATTTGAGAAACAAAATATTTTTTTCCTCTGATTTGTAAACTTTTTTTCAACTCTTCCTAGACCATTGGAGCAATTAGCACAAATTGAATTAGATCATCTTCAGACCATGTCGGCAAAGTTAAAGAATTCGCCCAACAGTGCTTGACAAACGAGCGAACAAATTAGACGAAGAACACGCCTAGATTTCCACAATTATTCTGACTAAACTTGATGCGTGTTATGACAATCATGACCGGAGGATATCTGTACAGTTTCGGCGCACAACATATGACTTTGTTTTTTTGTGCTATTTTTTGTCTATAACTTAGATTTAGGTGGCATGCCGAGTTGAACAATATCTAATTTTGATTCATTAGAATGATTCAATGACTCACTCATTAAGACTGTGACTTACCGCCACCTACTGGTGGTTTTAGTTTCATATTTAAGTGATCATTTCTTTTATATACTATATATATATATATATATATATATATATACAAATTTCAATATTCAAAAGTTATTTTTTAAAACATGAATCTCATAGCTTAATTTATGCAATTATAATTGCAGTGCAAATACTTAAATGCTGCTTTAGATGCAGCTTCTGTGCCACTTCTGCAGTTTTTGATACCGCTTTCATATGAAGAATGTGAAGAATATACATAACTTTAGGAGTCAGCTGTCAATATCACAGATCCCTAGTTTACACTAACGCCTATTATAGTGTCCGAATGAACTGATAACGCCACATGCACTTGCATTATGCACACTTTTCAGATCGTAGATTCCAGTAAATCTGAGCATGGGTAACTAGAAGATATTTGGATGCTCTTACCTTTAGATAGTCCACAAACTCTTTGACTTCCATCTTGGCCTCATGCATACCCGCAACATCTTTGAAGCTTATCCCTTTCCCAGATTTCCCATCGACGATAGTGAATTTAGCCATTTTCAACTGATTCTGATGGAGCAGACGGACGATTTGACATCACAAAACATTCATAGAAGTCTAAAACTGATGCAAATGAAGAAATCTTGACTTACAAATGCACTAAAACCACCATCTCGCCCACCCATTCCTGCCAGTCGGAAGATGTACCAGAGGATTGCGACCCCAATGGCAGCCATACCGAGAGCATAAAGGGCACTGTGGAGGGAAAGAAACTGATCTAGATGCATTCTGTCAAGATAACAGCTGATTATAAAATGCCCTGATTATGCTACTATTATGTTTTGGAGTCTCTTACAGGTTTCCAAGCATCTAAGGTCAAAAAACACTGGGATTTTCTCATTATATACATCGCAGCATCACCTCTTTTCTCAGAGTGTCTGAAACGACTCAATCAAGAATTCAGTCTCTCTAAACCCCACCTTTCCAAAAGCCAACTCTGCTCTGATTGCTCAGGTGACCCAGTCTGCTCTGATTGGTCTACTCTGCTCTGATTGGTCAGATGGCTCAGTCTGCTCTGATTGGTCAGATGACTCAGTCTGTTGTGATTGGTCTACTCTGCTCTGATTGCTCAGGTGACCCAGTCTGCTCTGATTGGTCTACTCTGCTCTGATTGGTCAGATGGCTCAGTCTGCTCTGATTGGTCAGATGACTCAGTCTGTTGTGATTGGTCTACTCTGCTCTGATTGGTCAGATGACCCAGTCTGTTATGATTGGTCTACTCTGCTCTGATTGGTCAGACGGCTCAGTCTGCTCTGATTGGTCAGATGACTCAGTCTGTTGTGATTGGTCTACTCTGCTCTGATTGGTCAGATGGCTCAGTCTGTTTTGATTGGTCTACTCTGCTCTGATTGGTCAGATGACTCAGTCTGTTATGATTGGTCTACTCTGCTCTGATTGGTCAGACGGCTCAGTCTGCTCTGATTGGTCAGATGACTCAGTCTGTTGTGATTGGTCTACTCTGCTCTGATTGGTCAGATGGCTCAGTCTGTTTTGATTGGTCTACTCTGCTCTGATTGGTCAGATGACCCAGTCTGTTATGATTGGTCTACTCTGCTCTGATTGGTCAAGCGGCTCAGTCTGGTGTGATTGGTCTACTCTGCTATGATTGGTCAGACGGCTCAGTCTGGTGTGATTGGTCTACTCTGCTATGATTGGTCAGATGGCTCAGTCTGGTGTGATTGGTCTACTCTGCTATGATTGGTCAGACGGCTCAGTCTGTTGTGATTGGTCTACTCCGCTCTGATTGGTCAGATGGCTCAGTCTGTTGTGATTGGTCTACTCCGCTCTGATTGGTCAGATGGCCCAGTCTGTTGTGATTGGTCTACTCTGCTCTGATTGGTCAGATGGCCCAGTCTGTTGTGATTGGTCTACTCTGCTCTGATTGGTCAGATGGCCCAGTCTGTTGTGATTGGTCTACTCCGCTCTGATTGGTCAGATGGCCCAGTCTGTTGTGATTGGTCTACTCCGCTCTGATTGGTCAGGTGGCCCAGACTGTTGAGATTGGTCTACTCCGCTCTGATTGGTCAGATGGCTCAGTCTGGTGTAATTGGTCTACTCTGCTCTGATTGGTCAGATGGCTCAGTCTGTTTTGATTGGTCTACTCCGCTCTGATTGGTCAGTTGGCCCAGTCTGTTGTGATTGGTCTACTCCGCTCTGATTGGTCAGATGGCTCAGTCTGTTGTGATTGGTCTACTCTGCTCTGATTGGTCAGATGACTCAGTCTGTTGTGATTGGTCTACTCTGCTCTGATTGGTCAGATGACCCAGTCTGTTGTGATTGGTCTACTCTGCTCTGATTGGTCAGATGACCCAGTCTGTTATGATTGGTCTACTCTGCTCTGATTGGTCAGGTGACCCAGTCTGTTATGATTGGTCTACTCTGCTCTGATTGGTCAGAGGGCTCAGTCTGTTGTGATTGGTCTACTCTGCTCTGATTGGTCAGATGACTCAGTCTGTTGTGATTGGTCTACTCTGCTCTGATTGGTCAGATGGCTCAGTCTGTTGTGATTGGTCTACTCTGCTCTGATTGGTCAGAGGGCTCAGTCTGTTGTGATTGGTCTACTCTGCTCTGGTTGGTCAGATGACCCAGTCTGTTGTGATTGGTCTACTCTGCTCTGATTGGTCAGATGACCCAGTCTGCTCTGATTGGTCAGATGGTTCTGCTTTGGAGCAGAAAACAGAATCTCCTCACCATGTGACCAACACAAACCAAACTCTTCCAGTCTAAGCTACAACTAGAGTGTTTAGGGCGGGGCAAAGTAGAAGCTGTTCGTTCTAGACAGCCGATGAAAACCACAGGCTGGCAATTCAGAATCGATTTGTCGTGCATTTTTTTTTTTTTTTAGCTTGAACTTTTAAATTCATAAACAGCTCTATAACACTCAATGTAATATGTAAGATAATATGCATGAAATGCAATTATAACACACAAAGTAATATGTAAGATAATATGCATGAAATGTAATATTTGAAAAAGCATAATGGGGCTTTTTTTTTCTCAGCTGGTGAGGTTTGCCTGCTACTACAGTCCAAATGACTCACTTCCCGAAGAAGCCCGTGCGCTTGTAGTTCACTGGAATTCTGTCTTTGGCATCTATGCTCAGTTCTTCTTCTGCTGCTCTGAGCTTCTCCTCAAACTTGTCAATATTGGCCACCTGCATTCGGTACATCAGGGCCAGTCTCTACAACAGACAACAGGACAATAACGAAACTGGAATTGATAGCAACATAATCATAACAATTATTTTAAAATGACGTACAGGTCTTCCGAAGATGACTGCGCCGGGGTGAAGGTAGATCTCCACGATGTCACTCTCTGGTACCACCTGTACTCGCGACACCTCTCCTTTGGCCAGCATTTCATTTACAAAATCATTCCAGGATATGTTTCCCCCACTGGTATTGATGGAGTTGAGCAAGCTCATGATGACGGCGATAATAAAAAGTGTGCGCAGTCGCTCCTTATACATCTGATCCTCCTGCTCTCGTCTCTTTTTCTCGTCTAGGGAAAGAAAAAAGCAAAGTATGCATGACTAAGGCTACGTTCACACTGCAGGCTGAAACGACCTAATTCCGATTTTTTTGCCCCTATGCGACCTGTATCTGATTTTTTCATGACAGTCTGAACGACACAGATCCGATCTTTTCAAATGCGACCCAGGCCACTTGGGTATGTGGTCTAAATCCGATATGTATCCGATCTTTTGAAATGCGACTTCAATCTGAACGGCCAGGTCACATATATCCGACCCACACGTCATTGCAAGCACCTGTAGCCAGCCAATACACGCTAACTCCAACGCGTTTCCTCACTGTTATGGGCCACTGCAGACGTGTCTCTTCCCCAGTGTTGTGCCTGAACGCGTTCAAAGAACGATAGTGCATGAACGCGTTCATATTTTCGCGTATCATATTATTCACGTTCGCCCGAAATAAACATACTGTATTACTGCCTGATGAACATTACTGTGAACACGTTCATTCTGGTGTATGTGAACGTGCGCTCTCTGTCAGTATAACTTTGTACAGTAGGGTGCCAGATATAGAGCCTTCCAAGCGAAAACCTGGCTAAAACACATGTGAACATGCCTTAAAATGTAACGAATAACCACCCAATCTGGCAACACCGCGGCCGCCGGTGACAAAGCAAGGAGCGCCGCGGACACGCACTATGACTATCAATTAAACGGGTATTATGACGAGGTCGGTGAGGATCGGAAAAATCTTACATTTATGTGCAAACTGCCCGTCGATAAAATAATTATTGTCTGTGTTGTATATGGGCTGTGGCAATAATAATAATAAAACAAAAGCTCGCAACATATGAAAAAAAAAGAACTATTCTGCAAACAACAAGTGCTGTCTTGGACCGTTGATTACTCTTCTGCGCATGCGGGTCACTTCTGGGTCATTTCACGTTCACACAGGAGATCACAAAAGGTCGCATTTAATTGGAAATGTGAACGGCCTTGCAAAAAAATCGCATTTTTTCAAAAAATCGGAATTGAGCATTAAGCCCTGCAGTGTGAACGTAGCCTAATTTGCCATAATTCTGAATGATTTGAGTTGGTCAACAAATTGCATAATCGACTGCTGTCCCAGTTAACCTGAGGTCATGTAACAAGGAAGAAGCAAATTTTAAAGACAATTACAAGAAATAGGACAAATAATATTAATTAAATAGAGCTTTGAGTTTTCAGGTGCTTCTAGCCAAGTATTCAATTATTAGGTTGCTGTCACTTTAAGACCTAAAGCACAACCACTTTTCTTTCCCAACTGTTTGCATTTACTTCATAACCGATTGTAAAAGGAGTAGTTCACTTTAAAAAAAAACTTTTGCTGATAATTTACTCACCCCCATGATGTCATCCAAGATGTCCATGTCTTTCTTTCTTCAGTTGAAAAGAAATTAAGGTTTTTGATGAAAACCTTCCAGGATTTTCTCCATATAATGAACTTCAATGGGGTCCAAAACGGTTCAAGGTCCGAATGAGAGTTTCAGTGCAAACTGTTCAAACGATTCCAGACGATGAATAAGGGTCTTATCTCATTTAATAAATAAATTTTAAAAAAATTAAGTTTTATAGGCACAAATGTCCACCTTGCTCTGTTCTGTGATGAGCGTTCGTGACTCTCTTGTTCAAACTCGTTCATCAAAATGAACAAAACTTTTTTCGAGTGATGACTCGAAGGGTCCTAGATAAGACTCTTATTCATCGTCTGGAATCATTTAAAGCCCTTTGAAGCTGCACTGAAACTCTCATTTAGACCTTGAACCGTTTGGTTCCCATTGAAGTCCATTATATTGAGAAAATCCTGGAATGTTTTCATCAAAAATCTTAATTTCTTTTCAACTGAAGAATGAAAGACGTGGACATCTTCAATGACATGGGGGTGAGTAAATTATCAGCAAAAGTTTTTTTTTTTTTTTAAAGTGAACTACTCCTTTAACAAGAATACTCATTTTGACACACAAGTGTGTGTATTTGACCGCTTGACTAAATTCGGTTTGCACATGATTTGTGAAGCAACTTTCTGTGCGCTCACTTCGGGTGTGAGCACCGAAATCAGTTCGCTTGTGCAATTTTAATAACTTTATTAAGCATTTTATTTTCTCAAAATAGTTCTAAACGAAGCTGTCATAGAATGAATCGTTTGAGTGAATGATTCAATAACCCCATTTATAAAGACATTTCACAAACATGTATATTCATTACTTTAATGGGCTCATTGATTCTGCCTTAAATCAGTAAATTTTTAGCTAACTGTGTGATTTGCATATGTACATTTATGAAATACATACCAGAAATTGTAATTTAGACATGCAGTTTCTGTAAAGCTGCTTTGTATTGTGAAAAGCACCATACAAATAAATGTGAATTGAATTTCTGAATGAATCAGCCGTTTGAAACAAATCATACATATTAATTAAGTCAGTCACATAAATTATAATGTAGACATGCTTTTTCTCTAAAGCTGCTTTGAAATATGTATTGTGAAAAGCGCTATGCAAATAAATGTGAATTGAATTTCTGAATGAATCGGCAGTTTGAAACGAATCGTTTGAATGAATGATTCAGTGACTCACTCATGAACATGAGACTCGCTGCCACCTACTGGCGATTTTAGTTTCATATTCGATAGTCTTTTCTTCTCTATCGTGAAGCGTAACGGCTTCTCGAACAAGAACAAATGTAGGACGGGACTTAATTTCGTCAATGGGAATTGTCATTTGCTATTGGTGGATCTCATGTGAGTGACAGGTTGCCCCGCCCTCGCACCAGCAAACACGTCATTATACCCTTCAGGGTTTGTTTTAGGATCCTGATCACTTCTACAAGGTGTATTTTGTGATATTGATTAAAAAAATGACAAAATACCTTCATCCTCCTCTGGGGTCTTCCCTTTACCACCCTCTTTCTTTTCATGTCTTCTGTTGGATGTGCTGAAATAATGAGTAGTTCCTGAAAAGATTGTGAAACACATGCAAAACAGCAAATCAGAACAAGCTTAATAAGAAGTCACTACTACATTCATAAGAAGGTACTACTTACCTAAAAGTTTCCACAGTTTCATAGGATTTGTGACCAATTTGTGGCGACTGTGGAGTTCAAGTCCAATAAGCCTTGGGATTAAAGGCTTTGTCAAAATGTTCTGTAAAATGATGGCAGCTTGGTTAATCATCAACATTACGGGTCTGTATAATCATAGACAAATTAACTGGGAAATATACAGGCCTTTCGATATTACCTGGTATTATTATAATCAACCTGTAAGTTCCCTTTTGGCCACCAAAAGACTAGAATCTACTTGAATTTACTTAAAGGGACAGTGCACCCAAAAATAAACTCACCCTCATGTCGTTCCAAACACGCGACTTTCGTTCATCTTTAGAGCACAAATGAAGGTATTTTGTCCCTCCATTGACAGCTATGCAACTACCACATTGACACAAAGTTCATAAAGAGATTGTAAATCTAATCTATATGAATTGAGCAGTTTAGTGCAAATTTTCTGAAGAGACACGATCACTTTATATGATGAACAGATTGAATTTAGGCTTTTTTCACATAAATATATTCATCAACTCGCACATCAGTTGTGGCAAACAGCTCAAGCATGTTCACGTGACAGTACGAGGACCAGTGAGGTTCATGTTTTAAGCTTTTCATGTTAAAAAGCATCTTCCACATAATGTTTGTTCTAGTAAACTGTCCATCATTTAAAGCAATCGAGTCTCTTCTAGAGCCCGACCGATAAAGGATTTTGAAGGCCGATACCGATACAAATATTTTGGGGTTTTAAAATCCGATATTCCGATATATCGGCCGATATTATTATTATTTTTTTTAAATATTGTTGGATTTCACACACGTGTAAAAGAAAAGCGAACTTTTCTACACAAGATACGTTTGATACTTTTTCTCTATGTCTAAATGTTCACTCCTCGCAAGTATAACTTACATTTTACAATGCAGGGAGTGTAACTAGAGATATGCTAGTTATAAATATAGTAATAGTTTCTTTATTTAGGCAGAAAAAGTTCATTGTGGTTTCCAAGCTCATTAATGTTAACGTTAGCGGTCTTCCACTGATGATAGTGGCGTTAGCTAGCTTTGTGGTTAGCTAGTCTATGATGAGCCATAATTTAGCAATAGATAACATCATACTGCAAATTGTAAAACATACATTTTCAATATCACAGGCCAAGGAGAGATGATTGAAGTGTGTTTCGTCCGTTTTTATTTTATTTTTTAAATATTCATTTATCGGCCATTATAACTGCCAATACCGATATTATGGAAAATGCCTAATATCGGCCGATAATATCGGTCTGGCTCTACCATCTTCAGAAAATTTTGGACTGAACCGCTCAATTCATATGGATTAGTTTTACAAGGAACTTTTAAAACCGTCAAAGTGGTAGTTGCGTAGACTGTCAATGGAGGGACAGAAAGTGCTCAGATTTCATCAAAAATAAATGCATTTGTGTTATGAAATACACAAAAGTCTGACGGGTAATGAACAACATCAGGGTGAGTAATTAATGACAGCATTTTAATTTTGGGTGAACTATCCCTTTAACGCCACATAATGCTTGGTCGACGTTTAAAATACACACCTGAATGCGTCCTGATTTTAGTCCTCTTGTGTTTGCAGTCACTAAAGACGAGTATGAAGTCACATTGTTCTCCAGGAGTTTTCTGCTGGATTGAAAACAACTGAAACGATTCGACAACGACCAACGCTTGCTTCCACGCAGCAAAAGTAGCGCTGCCATAGTACAATCTGGTTTATCGCGTCGCTTGGATCAAATACATACTATACCAGAGCGAATGCCAGTCTTTAATGTGACCTCTTTAGGAGCTGAAATAGCACACAACTGTCATAATGATTCTGCTGCTCTTATCCAACACAGCCAAATATAGCTGCAAATAAATAACAACCACGTCTTCTACTCTGATATTCCGGAAATATACAGAGCAAATAAAACGTTTAAATACAATATAAAGTCTTAAATGATACAATCACAAGGACATATTAAAGCCGTGAACTCTATTGATGTTTACCGTACAGGCTCGGGAAACATGTCTGTTGAACTTTCACCTTCGGATTCAGCCAATCAGGAATGGAAACAGCTCGAGAACGGGCTGACGGGAAATGTCGTTCTACTCGCAGTTGGATAACCAGTAAAACTACAAATGGTTGTACTTGGGGCATGCGCTACACAAAAAACATTATAATTAGGTTTAAAATGTATTAAAAATTTAGCGAATAAAAATAAACAAATGATATTTTAATATATATAGTCTTTTTTTTCTAGTCATGTCAATTTTGTTGTTGTGGTAAGATGTCAAATCTGGCCGTCTTTTTTGGGCTTGTGTGATTTAATTTACCCAAAAATGAAAATTATGTCATTAATGACTCTGACATTATCAAAGTAGTCCATGTGACATCAGTGGCTTAGTTAGAATGTTTTGAAGCATCGAAATTGGTCCAAAAACGAATTAAACATTGTATTGTCTTCCTGATGTCACATGGACTACTTTGGTGATGTCTATTTCCTTTCTGGACAAGGACAGTATACCGTATTTTCAATGGAGGGACAGAAAGCTCTCGGACTAAATCTAAAATATCTTAAACTGTTCTGAAGATGAACGGAGGTCTTACGGGCTTGGGACGACATGACATGAGGGAGAGTCATTAATGACATAATTTTCATTTTTGGGTGAACTAACCATTTAAGTGTTGGGATATCAAGTGGGTGTGTAGAAGATCTCAGAAAAATAATGTTCTTAACAGCAGAGGGAGCCATTGCGTTATTCTGCTCTGCAAGAAATCGGTGTGACGTCAAAACGAAATTAAAACAAAAACACATCTAAGAATAAGATACATTTACCCAACAACAGTCAATGAAAATAACACGTGCTGTAGCTGATCGGCTCGCAATCCGTCATCGGCAAGCAGTTTATAATACTACAAAAGTACAATTTAGATAGCAACAAACAGTTGTTTCAGATTCTAAATAAAGACTGGATAAGGAAGAATAATTAGCTCCGTTCACTCGTATCTTAAAAACCTAACTCGGTCAACTTTATAATAACATATTCCCACACAGACTCTCCGTTTTCCTCTCACTGAAAGGGAGCTCGCAAAAACATGCCACTGTCTACGCCATTATGGCTCGAGGTCGCCAAAGAAAACAACTTGGAAGCTTCCTTCGGAAGAGCCACAATGGCGCCAGTTTCACCGTTGCAATGGGAACCAAACAGTGACCGCCCATACGCGTCAACCAATCACAGCTCGCGTCTCAGAAGCTCGCGTTCGCTTTTCGTCAGCGCGAGTCGAAACGGTTCGGAAGCAGTCGGACGTTGAGGATTAACTTGAAGCGGAATTTTATTTTTGCACCTCAAAATCAAGCCAAATCAGCAAACTCACCGTTACTGACACTTTTTTTTTCAAAGGAACGGATGGAGAGTTTATAACCATTTCTCTGAGCATTTCATCGGAACCCTGAGAGGTTTTAATCATCGCATTTTCTGAGGAGGTAATCAGTGATTAGCTTTAGCACGCTGGCGCGAGCGCGGACTGAGATGAGCGTCGCGTGCCTCGGATGTTCCCGCATCGGAGATTGCTGAAGTGGAAGGCCTCAAATGGGAAAAACAAGCATCGGGAAGGAATATCAAGTATAATTTTGTAGATGTAGCTCACGTTTTAAAGAAGGTAAGCATTTTTAAATTGCTATGTTTTCGCTTAAAAGCCATTTCGTGTAGGAAAACCGTTTGTACGTCCTCTCAGGCGTCGACTTTCACGGTTAGCCCGCTAACGAATTTAGCCCCGTTGCTAACGGGAGTTTGTTTCCCTCCCCCACCCTGAAGTCGAGGAAATGTTTGCGTATTGCTGGAAATCTATATCTATTTTGTCAGACTGCAAATGTATTCGTTCCTGCGATGTGTGTAGGTCTAAAACGATGAGGTTTGTAGCAACTGAAGGCGAGCGTGTGAACCAGGAGAAATGAAAATAATCCTCGTCATGTTGTCGTTTTCTCTCTGGGAATCGGATACGGTCAGACGGGCTCTGCAGAAATCAGCCACGGGGATGGGCAGCGTAATATATGTATGTTTCAAGGGCACATACACGAGGAAATATTGTTGTTGATATGGTTGCAGGGATTATGGAGATAAGATCTAGCCTATAATACGAATTTGCTTTGGGTTAGCAGTGCACCATTCTGTCTATAAATATTAGATCACTGCTGCAACACTCAGTTGTGATGATTAGATGTGTTTTTGATGGCTTTGACCATATTGTATTTGTTGATATGTATTCACTTTTGGTTTGGTTTTCACCAATGTTTAAGGGAAGATTTTGACTCTGTGAAGTAAAAAAAAACACCCACTTTTGCAGTATAATAATAGCATTCACACAAGATCAGTGAAGGCAGATGCACGATATATCGGCCAACATAACAACAGTACATGTTCATTTTTAATGTTATCGTTATCGGCTCAACAAAAAATGTGCCGATATTAAATCACTTTGAAAAGGAAAATACAGTAAAGAGCAGTCATATAGGCTACGTTCAATTATTATGAGAATATCCTTATAATTATGTGCTTGGATTTTAATGATGTGACTTATTTTAGTAATCAGGCTCTCAAAAGTTATATAAACATTTGGATTTAGATTTATCGGCAAATATATCGTTTATCAGCGTTCATGTATAAAGAATTATCGGTATTGACTAAAATTTTCACATCAATGCATCCCTATATTATACCACGGAAAATGCGTTTTCATTGCAAACTTGTTTTATGTATCTGATCATATTAAATGTTTCTTGCTTTTGCTTCCATCTCTTCTATGTGATGTGAGGAAGCCAAGGCCCTGAAAGCACATTTCGTGAAAACTGCATGTGGATGTAGCTCGTGTGCTTGTGTTTAGACATTATGTGGTGTGATTGTTTACTTCAGCGAGGAGTTGCACTGAAGCAGAGCTTTACAATACTTCTTTAAAGGCTGATCTGAAGGATAGAGGGAGAATCTGTGTAAGTTTGTGATGAAGTAAACAGAGCTGGTGTTGGTGCAGTGGAAGAACACTGCGGCGTTGGGGCGTTAGCACACACTCTTTCCCTCTCTCTCTCTCTTTCTATCTCTCTTCACATACACTGCTGCCACTTTACATCCCTCCCTTCTTTGTTTAATTCTTCTGAGCACAACTTTTATGCAGAGTCTTCTTACGCAACCGTGAAACTCTGATTTATGGCACTTGTAGACTGTTTACCAGAAGGTGGTTTAAAAGCACTAATCTGGATTTAGCTGAAGATCCGTGGGTGTTTGTCTGAGGTTGTCAGGCCTGTTTGTGTACCCTTGTGTTGTGAGAGTCCTGCTTATTGTTTGGCAGAGAGGGGAAGTTGACTTGTCTGGGGTGTGGGGTCAGGAATGCTGTTTAAGAAAGCTTTTTCTTTGCATTTATGATGGCAGTTGTACTCGACAGTAATTAGCCTATTTGCTCTCTTTCTCAATGCAGCCTTTTGAGAGCAAATCCTGTGCCGTGGACTCATGGAACATGGTCATTTCCGATAGTTGGAGATTAAATGTTATTTAATGTGTGATGGTGGTGCTGTAATGGTCAGCATTATGGTGTCAAAGTATTTTTCTGGGTTTGAAACAAATCCATGCTCTGTCACCATGAAAATTTCACATATTTAGGTTTGCAGAGCATTGCATGCTGCATTTTTTTGACCTAGCGTTCCTCATTGGTGGGCTTTTTTCAGCTTTGCTGTTTGCAAACATGAACTGTTCTTTAAAGGTAGGGTAGGCAATTTCTGAGAGGCTAGCAATAGTAAGTTAGCTTTGAAAGCATGAGATCCCACCCTCCCTTCATTCAAAGCTACACCTCAAACACATCAACACACTGTGAAGTGTCACGGGAGACGTCTCAAACCACATAACATTACAATGATAATGATTGTAAACAATTTAAAGATCTATAACTTGTACCACCTGACTCGCCGTTGATAGTGTTGACATTCAAACGTATTGCAAGGATTGGATTTCTCTAGGGCTGGGTAAAAAATATCTCTCTTGATTTTAATCGATTCTCATTTTTACGAACCGATATCATTTCAATTAGCAGGTCTCCAGACTGCGACTAAATATTAATTTGCGAGTGATATTTTTGTTGAGATTGCCATTGGCGTTGATATAAATTTTCGTGTTATGGTTCAAAATTGCATCTTCTGTGATGAGCCGCCCATCACATCTGTTATGTTGACGTAATAAAATATCTCTATCGTGCCACAATGCTGAAGAATACAGAAGATATCTGTCATGTTTTAATATTTAGACCACTTCTATTATTGATTGCTATCAGGATTTGAAGAGAGTTTCAACCAGCGTAACAAAGTGTTTATAAAATAAATTGCTTTCTCTACCTTTAAGGACAGCAAGTTAAGAATGATCTATTATTTTGTAAGTGTGTGTGAATGTGCTTCTAGGCCAATTGGTTTGTAGATGCCTAATAGTTAGCAGGCAGCTGTTCTTTGAGTGTTTTGTTTATTACTAGTTAGTGACTACGCTTTTCCTGGTTCACACGCTAGTGGGAAAGCTTGAAATAAGAGGGAATGCAAAAAGTGTTTTTCCAGGCCTGAAAAAAAATCTCAAATCAAAAATTCTGTAATTTATATTTTGAAAAGTATGTCTGCAAAATATCTCTCAGGACGCTATCTTACTTAGGACTGGGTCTCGACAACAAAATCACAAGTCATTATTGACTTCACTTTCTCCTTATGAGAATTTAGTGTAACAGTTGTTTATTCAATATTGTGTACAGTGCTGGTGCTATGTGTAGTTTTAGTTTGAACAATTGGTACAACATTTTGCGTAGTTTACTTGTAAATCGTCTAAGCCTAGAAATTGTAGTGTACCCTCCTGTCATGAATTCAACGAAATAATTGGCGATCATGATGTTTCATGGGCGATTCCGTATTTTTTTTATTTTTATTTTTATTTTTTTTACAGGCAAATTTACTGATTTCCCTTTAAAGGGTTAGCACACTCAAAAATGAAAATTCTGTCAGTATTTACTCACCCTCATGTTGTTTCAACCCCGTAAGACCTTCGTTCATCTTCGGAACACTAATTAAGATATTTTTGATTAAATCTGAGAAAAAAACTACAAAAATAATGACTTTATTTCAACTATTCATTACCTTCTCTTTGGGCGATCTGTTGTTGTACGTCACACCCATCATGCACATGACCAGCGTCGGCCAATAGTGAGCCTACGTGTGACGTTTAACTGACTAGAGGCCCAAAAAGAAAGAAATTAATAGTTGAAATAAAGTCATTATTTATGTTTGTTTTTGCGCACAGAAAGTGTTCTCGTCGCTTGATAAAGTTAAGATTGACCCACTATTTTAATGATGTCTTTAATAACTTTTCGAGGCCGTCAAGTTTCAATCCCTCTAGAAGCCTATGGACTAGTAGAAATTTAAATTTTTGGATGAACTATCCCTTTAAAGCTAAGCTGACTCTCGTAACACTGTCTGCCCAGCTCCACCTCTCTTTCAATTTGATCGCGAGTAATTGTAATATGAACTGTAATTTGATACAAATCCGCAGTCGTGAACAGATCATCTTTATGGCTAATATCTAACTGTTCAGACGTAGGCTTAATCGCGAACTTTTCTATTTCAAAGTTAACTTCGAAGACATTCACGAATTCCCTCCCGCTTAAAGTGACAACCTCTAGCCAAGCTACAACATACAAAGCAAATTTCATGGGATTTTATTTCTTTTTCTCTTAACCTGTTAACTGTCACCCCCCCTTTTTGAATAGACATGAAAATGCACATTTCGAACTTAAATGGTTGTAATTCAAGAATGCTTTGGAATATAGACATATGATTGGTCTTGTTTTAAAGAAGACATTTGGCAGATTTTTGTAGAAGTGAAATAAATTAAGAAAGTGAAACAGAAAAAAAGTTATAGAAGTTTGAGTTTATGGAAATGTACAATGTAAAAATATTAATTATTCATATTTTACATAAAACATATATTTTCAAAACCTGGGCTACTCTAAAATGGCAGAAAGATCAAAGCCAAAAATCTGAACAAGTTGTGTTTCAAATTTTAGGTTGATATCTCAAAAAATGAGCTTTCAGTAAGATTTTGTTTGAGCGCAGTACCAAACTTTTTCACTAGGGCACAATCAGACTCCATTACTGCCCATATAAGGGCGCCTGCATTTCCATTCGTGTTTTGAGTGATATGAACCATTATTTTCACAATTTTCATACAATTTCTGAAGTAGAGATCCTATTCAGAAGTAGCATGGGAAGTTTGGCAGATTTTGATATGAATTGAACCTCTAAGAAACACATACAAAGAACACGCATGTGAGTCATAGCTATATGCCACGTCACAAATGGTGAATTTATTATTTTTTTCTTGATATTTCAAACTTTTCAGACCTTTTTTTTTCAAAATAATTGAATGGATTCTATCTTTTGAACTTTTGGCATGAAAACAAACTGAGGTATCTACCATTTTGTCATGATTTTTCATGTTTACTGCTATTTTAAAATAAAGGTCTGAACACGCCTTATGAGTATGAAAATATTCTTGTTTTATATTGATAAATTATGGCTCCTCTGTAATATATTTTGAAAATCAGTCACCAAATACGGAAACTAGAGATTGTAAGCTTTCAAATGATAT